ATTTTGTTGTTTTTGTCAAATTTCAATTTTACCTTTTGCACCATTGTCCTTCACACGATGTAAATCCCCATCTCTGCCATGTCTTTGATGTCATTAAAAAATATACACATTTTATGTAACAAAAAAGTTAAGGCTAATTCGAAATACAGTCCTAGTCCCCTCCTCGACTTCTCACTCGACTGCACGTTCACCTTGACTCTGAGCAGGTGCTGAGCAGTTGTGGGCTCTGGCCACTGACCAATATACAGAAAGTTCTAATCGTGGGTCACCCACGTGGCGAACGTGACCCGAAACCGCAAATAAAAAAAACAGTGGCTGCATAACGACCAGAACCTAACCCGCTTTGCAGGCGACCCACGGGCACCCGACCCATCGCTTCGGTAAATGTGTATTAACACACTGTTGTACGAACCCCGCGACAGGAGTTTGATTTCTGGTGATGATTCACATTAGCGGAGAGTGATATTTAAATCATTCCTGGGCTTCCCATCTTCATCAATGCACACCAACCAGTATGGCAAAGTATGGCGAAACATCCATCATGCCAGACACGGCATTCGGGCCTTTTTCCAATATTGGATTCATTGACAAAGGGCTGTAAAATGTTTATTTCATTTTTAGTAAGGGCTACACAATCATAGGAGATGTCACGTTATACATGCTGTCTGTGTGTTTGCCAGCCTTTTGTTACAGGATAGCACTACATACGATTCCACATCACCCTCACTTTGTATTCAAATAATTTTTATCCGAATGCTATAATGATCAATATTATGATTCAGAATTGGTTTCCTTTGGGCTAGATTGCTTGAGTACAATTTAAAACTCTTACCGTCCACCACCCGACAGAGCCAATCAAATCAGGTTATCAGCAAATCAGAGTTAGGAATTTTCAAAAGCAAGCATTGACTTGACAATGTTTACGTGATGTTTCGCTGGAAATTACGGCCAGCATCATCAGGCCTTTAAGTCGATCCCCATGGCATCATGAGGACAGCCATGCTGCTGTTTAGAAATACATTAACTATGAATCAAAGTATTCACAATGCTTTTCATTCATGTTATTATTTCATTCAAATTCTGCTTCAGGTAGCTTGGGATTATAAAGTTGCTACACGCCGGTGCATCAATAACTTCGCTGCCAGTTTTACACAGTTCATTGCCCAACAATTCTGGCTCATCTTCGCTGAGCAAAGAACCATTGGAAGAGACCACGAGCGTATAGATAACACTCTGCGGCAATGCTGCATGCGTGGTGTTATCTGCTACATCCCTATATTGAGTAATACAACTCACGTCTCCATCGACATGAATTTCAATGTTGTGCACCGATGTATAATATGCCTCTGTTATTGGCACAAATGACTCTGGTTTCGTTGCAGGCAGTTGGTGGAACTTCCACCAATCCTTTGAGTTACCAGGCTGTAAATGAAACACACGGATTTGTTATCACTTGGCCTGTGGGTTAAAAACATGGATGAAACATGTGTCCACAATTTTCCCTTCCACATTAGTCTTGCTTCAACAGTGTATAGTCCTCAAAACTCTAACAATCTAACTATTGCACAATATGACAACATCAGCCATCCCCCTAAGTGAGGGGGGTATGTGTTGACTGATCGAGATGACTGGCTTATTGCACCACCTAGGATCCAAACTGTTCCAGAGGTGTGTTATTGTTCTTGTGTCTTTCCTCCACCCTCTTTTGTTTCTGCAGGGTTTTGTCTTTTACAATACAGTATAACCAAACACAAAGATCCCCCCATATGATCTTTAAATGACTGTTGGGGCAAGAACCGTTCGCGAGCACCTATTTATGCTGGCGCGGTACACGAGGCGGTGGGTGGACAGCCAAATGTTGATGGTTTACACACCGCACCAGGTTCTCATTTAAGGCTGAGTCGACCTTTATACGCATATGCCAATACAGTATACTGTATGTATGTACGTATATATATGCACATTCTACCCCTGAGAATATTCCACAGACAATGAGAAAGTGACTCTATCTGGTAAAGATAAAATCAATAATTGAGGTATCCTTCGGCATCACTTCATCATTTTCAAACAATGTCCTTGCGTATATCTGTGTCAGAACAAAATGGTACATTTTGTGAAGAATGTTCTTCGACCAATGTTTGAAAGGAAAACAAAGTCATACCTTGCTAAAATCAATACCTTTGGCCCAACTGCAGTTTTTAGGGTCTGGGATATCTGGCCAAACGAATCTGAAAATTGAAACACAAGCGACAGTGTCAATCATATTAACATGGCATTATTACAGTAATAACAGTAGGTATGGCTAAAATCTTGTCATGGAGGTCACAGTGATCATGTAAATCGTGAATTTGAATAAAATCTGAAAGACATTGTAAAAATCTGTGAATGTTATTCAAGATTACCAATGCAAAATCAAAGTCCTAACAATAAGCTATCTTGTGAAAATAATTATAAATGTGTATATGTATGCCAACGTATTAATATGCATTTATAAAGGAGCATTTGCCTATATTTGATGAGAATTATGTAGATGAAGACGCCAAGCACCAAGCAGCATGACAAAGTGATGACAGCTTCCTTCCAATTATGTTCTGCAGAAATGCAAAATATTATTATTCAACATCATCATCATCGATCGGCGAATCAACTGCTAGGAACGTGCAATGTTGTAATCAATCTACCACATGTACATGAAATAATTTATTGCCAAATTTGCTTGGTAGTCATCATCCCAAATGCATTACATTCCTTGGCTGCCCCCCTTCAGTAGTATTATTCTTGACCATCTGGCATCATCCCTTCTAGCGACGTGTCTGGGCCAAACCCATGCACTTTTCTTAACAGGTTGAATGATGGATGTCATGAACCTGCATATCTCCGCTAATACACATGCTCATTTTTCTCTCAAAGTAATTCCCAGCACGATATGTAGCACAGAAACCTTGTTGTTTCTTTGCTATATCATAGCAGGTGACATGCACGTGTAGTGACATAACGCCGACTGCTGTCCAGTAGCGGCAACTGCAGTGGACAGTTAGTGCACACCCCGTTGAGCATCTACATGGCTGTGTGTGCCGGCAGTGCGGAGGAACTGGGGCAAGGGTCACAGAAGACGTCATCGGGAAGCCCCTGGAACCCGCGAGTGGGTTCGAGAAGGCAGGCGTGGCCAGGGCGGAGCCAGGGCAGAGCCAGGCCGCGCCGAGTAGGATAAAAGCAGTGGAGAGCGAGAGCTCCGGGCTGCCCGTTCTGGGAGTGGACTCGTCTCGTCGTGGCTGTCGTCTTCGCCGCCTTCGTCGCTGCCGCCTTCACTCGATAATTGTGCGGCCGGATAGTTGTTTGCTGTCTCGGTCGATGCGTCAGTGTAACGCGGTTAGGGTTGTGTCTAGGCTGGGCTGTACGACATCCGTGAAGGAACGAGGCGAACCTGTTGAACCTAAAGAGTGTTCATTAAGAAGGTGCCTCTTGCAACTACCTCGTCTCTGACTTGTGCTACACTACACGTGCATGAGCAAAACGTTTATTCATATTGCCATTGGTATGTTACTTTAAAATTCAGATCAGATTGACTTCGGTCTGTTCTCAATAGCTGTCCTAGGTAAACATACTCTGCCGCACACATGCCACAAAATGTACCCTCATATGAAGTCGTTCGCACACTGTGCTATGAATCCCAGATACCTAAGTTTGCGACCTTGGTGAAGTATGGGAGACGATCTACCAATGAATTTACAAAGGGCTGTACATTGTATGAAAAAAATGAAAGTACGGCCTAGGAACTGCTTGGTCACACCGCTGCTAGCACTAGAGCGAACTCGGGAGTGTATATGGTCGATTCATTCACGTTAATTAGACAGATTGGCCAATCACTTTTAAAGACAATGCATATGTAAGAACAGCACGTGGCCTAGTGGCCGCAAATAATGATTGCAGCGATGAGGACAGACAGGGTCAAGTGAGGTAACTAGGTGAGGAGTCACCACGGGGGGAGGGTGGAACCGACGAGGTGTTAGTGAGGCTATAAAAATATCCGACAGAAGAGAGTTCGGGAAAGGGAGCGTGGCCGAGCCAAAGGGAGACATAAGGGAGCGTGGAGCAGTTCTACGGCTGTATCTTTCTACCTGATGATGGTTACTTATGTTGCGATCGAAACGTAATTTATTATATATTTTTCTACCTACATGACTTTACCGAAAGAACCAAAGAGTATGAATTCCTACAATAACGAAAACTTCAAATCAAGTTGCTTCTAAATTAATGCTTGTTTACTAGGAAGTGTATGTTTTGCTAATTAATCATTAGATGGTCTTTTTGGATGCAATGGCTTTTGATGGCTGAGTAAGCATATTCACTCCACTGCGACGAGCAAGAGGAAAGCCAATGTTTTTCACACGATGAGTTTAGCAGAGAATAGCAGTTGAATTTCACAGTGCATCATACAATCAATGTTACAGCTGCTATGATAAACTGCACACGTTGTGGTCAGGATACAGGTCTACATTGTTTACTTTTTTTAATTGAACAACGTTAGTAATAGGTTTACACAGTGCCGGATTATCCTAGTAGCAAAAGTAGCATATGCTACGGGCCCCGCACTCTCAAGGGCCCCGCGCTAAATGCTTTGAAGCTATCAATTCCGGTTCAGTGATTCTGTACTTGCTCTATTACTATAGTACTATACCTCCTACAACTTTTATGAACGACTGAGTGTTTAAGGTTAGCGATTTGTCGTATTATCTGGCTGTGTAGAAAATGAAATAATACAATTACTTTACTGTGCAAGTAAAAAATGTGTTCTTAGGTTTATTCGGTAAAGTCACGTTACTTTACCGAAAAAACCTAAGAATATTAATCCTTGCCGTCACGAAAGCTTCAAATCTAGAATTTAAAAAAATGTGTGTTTTAATATATTTTTTAGGGCCCCTTTATAACATATGCCACAGGCCCCGCAGTAGCTTAATCCGGCACTGGATTTATAGACAACTCACGTGGATATCCCCATACGTTTTGTACAATTAAAACAATCCACTCATAATCCCACATTGTATTTTCAGACAACTGAAGTACAGTTTTTGGCAGTCCAATTCCACATACAGCACGCTGTGTATTAAGTTAACGTACCACCGATATTCAGGTTAATTACCCCTTTAAAGGACGTTTGAATATTGATGTTTGTCAATTCAACTTGTATGACAAGTTTGCACAATTTCAAAGTTACCAGTAATGTGGTAAGTGCAAATGTTCTGTTGCCTACGCTTAAGAGGATATTTTAATTTGCAAACATTGCACCGACGTTCCTTTTACAACAACGGTCAGCTAAATGCCATGCATCGAGTGCGCACAAGTAAAACGCGAGTTCACCTTTTGCACTAAGATCCACAAATTTAAGCAAAGCCGTATCCACAAAAGTGGACGTATTTTGTGCCCGATGCAAGTAGCAGTTGACTCGGATGAAGCTGGTGGCGAGGGTCGGACTATGCACATTCTTGAAAGTGACCGAGGAAAATATAAAACCCTCTCCCCGTTGCAACTCGGTCGATTGATGCCACATCACCTGGCCCGTGGCTAATATCTTCCAGGTTAAGTTCAGCGTTTGGCATTTATCCGCAGGTATTCTGCACTTGAAGGTTGCGGAGTCTCCTTGCCGGACGCTTTTCTCCTTGGGAAAGACCTCGCCTTTGCCGTCATTATTAATCTTAACAGTGCCTAGGAGATACACGAGTTGTACGGTGTCAGCATCATCATCACAGGAATGTTAACAACTGCGTCAGACCGCATTGTGCCATTTGTGAACATCCATTGCAGTCATTGATTGCCAACCATTATCCATCGAAAATAGAAAATCGGACAATAATGTATCGTTGATATATCTGTCTTTCGACGTAAGACAAACAAATGTATTTTTACTCACAACCCACTGGCCCCACCGCCTTTTAGGAGCACTTAATTTCAGCAGCAGGGGAGAGACCGATATGTGAAGGTGAAATATCGTTTGCGTATTTATTTTGTTACGATACGAACCAAGGTCGATTTTTTCCGAGCTAATGCGAGCGACGATCAAATAATGAACCTGTCTTGGCCTCTCATCCTTTCAACAAGATGCACTGACCAAAGCGGTGAAGTATAGTCATGCAAACCACTATAATCTGGAGAGGTGCCTTCATTTGCCAGTGCATTGACAAAGGCGTGAATATCATTTTGAGAGAGGTGCATTACAAAAACTCAGGACCTGTTACGTTGAGAGTGGCAACTGGACACATTTCGCCATTTTTAAAGAGTATGATTCCGATGTACTGTTGGCACGGCGGCTGCACGTTGACCAAGGTGACCCCAGAAACGACGGTGCCATTCTCGAATCTCCGCTGCCAGGTCCTGTTTTGGATGCCAGACACAGAGAATTTCCAGAATAGTGGCAGTGGCTCGAGGTGGTCGCCACTCGACGAGTCATCCTGAAAGGTGCTCGTGAACGTCGCGTTGTCCCCGACCTCCACCGACTGAAAGCCAGGGTGCACCGCGCAAGCCCCGGTATGGTGGGATGGACCTGTGTGCGTGTGTGGGCAGTGTGCGCAGCGCATACAGCTTAGAGTGCGAAAGAAGGTGGACGTGCGTACATATGCGATACATACATTGCTGTACAGGGAGTCCACAAAGATAGAAATCATTATTTACATATCTGTAATTAGACCGAAGGTTGAACTGGTCAGTTGAAATGGCACAATTGTGAGGGAAACTGATATTTCGATAATTGTCATATCATGAAATGTAATATCGAAATATAATGTTGCGACAACTCTACCAATACGTCTGAGAGTGACTTTTGAAAAACCCGACTAAATGTGTGATGATAGAAAAACCATAACACTTCGCTGCCTTGTCGGGTTGTACTTCCACGTATTTGTTCGGCATGTGGAGCAAAACAGTCGGACATCATGTCGAACAACTTGCGGCACAGAAGCTCCTTGAATGGGCGCCGTGGTGGCGAGATGTTAACTACCTCGTCTGGTAAACAGAATGGTCGTGGGTTCGAACCCAACCCTGATGCCAGTATATTTTGAATTTGCATGTTCTCCCTGTTGTTGCTTGCATTTTTATCCAGGTCCTCTGGTTGTTTCCCCCCCATATTTAGAAACATGCCACGTGATAAGCCACTTTTTTGAGCTATCATTTATGCCCAGGTAGCTTGTGAAAGAGAGCTACCTAATAAAATACATATAGTTTACAGTTTAGTTTATAGAAAATTCAGCTTCCTTAAGAAGCTCCCAACACACGTCAGAGCTATACAGCACAACGGTAAAAACCTGGACAGCAGGAGTAATACAGAAAAAAGAGACGGCTTACCTGTATGTAGGAGACACAAGGCAGCCCAGAGACGGACACAGCTCACTGCGTACATTTTCAGCAGCGTCTTTGCCATCTGTGAATGTGTGCCCGGGCACAGTAGATGATGATATACATTCATATTGCTCGCTCATGCGAGGCCAGTTGTGGTGGGCGGGGGGTTCGGTCCTGATGTACTGGAGTAGTAGCCACACTGGATGAACTAGTCGGTGCGTGTTATTGTTTTAACAATTCAAAGATAATCGTGGAATTGAAATATATTATGTGCAGCGGCACGTGCATTGTTTGACATTGTACCGACGACAAAAGTCGAGTCTGCTTTCCGGCCACGCATACCACGAATGGGGAGTGATAACACTATGTATTATATCTCTAACCGGGTCAGCCCTCCACGCCACCACCCCACCACCCCCGCCTCGGCAACACAACTCTGTGTGGCCAAGCAAGCATCGAACAACACGGCCCGGAGAGACATTTAAACCTCGTCGGATTGAACGATGCTCCAGGGCTCCAGTGCAAAGTAGCATTGAGACTCAAGAGTGGAATTCCTATATAATTGGTGGGATTGGTATTATCAGTACTGTATGGTCACTTGTGAACGCCGCACACGCCACATGGTATATTCATACCTGTCAACTCATACGGGTTTACCCCGTATTATTGTACAGGGAAACTGAGTTTTCAGGACTATATACGGTGTCCAGCCGTTTCAATACAATCCACATTTGTTTCGATTTGTTTGTGTTTCTCCCTTGTGATGGGACTTTGTAGGATGTACGTTGAGATTTATAAGGGCACGGGGTGACCAATAATGTCTGAATTGGTATGTAATAAGGTAGGCACTGATAAGTGGTGGACAGGTATGTATATTACTGCCACACACAAATGGAAAAAAAAACATGGATAATACGTTTACGCAGAGTGTAATAAACAACCTTTAATTAAGGACTGCAGAATACTGTATATGATGTATTTTTAGTCCTTAAAATACATATACAAATGTGTTAAATCGTGTAAGAATGTCAAACTCCACGCGATATATTGTTGAGTCCCTTTCTAACACAGCGCGGTGACACCGATCAGCTACATACGGATGTCTTATCACTCTTAACAGCATCACATTGCACTAGAGATCCCCTCCGAGCCCGTCTCATGAGGTTCATCAGCACTCCAAGTCACCGTAGGTGTAAATCAATTAAACATGTTGGGTCATTTCCCGCTCAAACGTCCCGTTGAGGCAACGCTCATGCATCTCCTGTTCACAGCCTTCAGGCAGTGGTGGAAATTCCACATTCCTATGGAGGATGGAGGGGAGGCACAACCAATGTTTACTCCACCCCCACACACAAAGTGGTACCTATATTATCGACCCTGGAGGGATAATGGTGCTGAATCAACCTGCAACCCGGATTTTAACTCGCAAGTGCCAGCTACCGTCGGGCTGTTAAATCAATCGCACGTCGGTAATTCAACAACCCACCCTTTTCCCCGCAGCTATAAACGCACGCTCAATGTTACAAAATAGATTTATCTTATTCACTCGTAAAGATATTGTACGCATCGTAGCTATATAATACGTTTGTGGTTTAGGTTAAGGGCTGTGTGCGAATGCAATTTAACATTTCGTTGCTTTTTTCATAACCACACGAGCCACACTCGGCCAGATAATCTCGTTGGTTTTGGCGATGATAGACTGGGTCGCATTGTGACATTGCTCGTACCTTGAGTCATGTTGGCGAGATGTTAACTATCTCGCCTGGTATACAGGAGGTTGTGGGTTCGATCACCTGACCCTGACGCCTGCTGTATATTTGGAGTTTGCATGTTCTCTCCGGGTCCTGCGTTTTTTTCCCCTCTGCATTTAGAAACATGCGTTTAGAGTATTTGGCTGCTAGAAATTTCCACATGATAAGCCACTTCGTTGAGCTACAATATGTGGCCAGGTCGTTTCTGAAAAAGAGATATATACTGTAGCTCAGTGGGTCTTACCTGATAAAATAGAAATAGTTTCGTTTTTAGAGTCTCAGCCAATGCTGTATTCAACTTGGCACACGTCCCGTACTCGTGCTGCTGAATTCCTCAATTCTCCATTTGTAAGTCGTGTGAGATAACACCCATCATCTGGTGGCATATTAAGCCGAACAGCAAGGAGGAGGCGGAGTCCAGATCAGAGATCAGAAATAGGGGGGGGGGGGGGTGATACTTCTACGCAGCGCGTAACGGCCTCTGCGGCTCCAGCCTTTGTGGGGTCCCTCGCACATACGAACCACAAGGCCAGCTCTCTTCCCAGTCCGAACTGCTGGCGATGACGATGAACCTGCTGTTATATCGATGAGAACACCGCACTCCCCCACCACCACCTCCGAGGAACTCGAATTGGGAGCAACTGCTCCGATGGGTCAGGACAGAGTGCAGAAACCTAGATACACGCGCGTGTGTGTCTGTGTGTCAAATAGATGTAAGCCATGTGCTGGAACCAAGTTATGATTCCCTTCATGGGTCGGGAGATGAAAAGCAGTATCGGCCTCATCATCATCTGCCATGGTCATTCGTTGGTTGAAGGCCTCCTCAAACCGCCACCTTCTCCTCCAGCATAAACATCCATCCAGCACCTGCACACAAGCGGATTTCATCGTGCCATGTCTTCAGTGGACACCCTCTCAAAGGAGTTACATTCCTTGGCTGCTCGTCACTCTTCTGGACCATCGGCCTCCATCCCTTTCAGCGATATGTTCCGCCCACCATCCTTTTAAAAGAATCAACATGACTGCCTGATAAGATATTTTCTATGTGGTAAACATAGGATTGTGACGTCTTTATTTCCACAGGATCATGCTCTTGTTGAGGCAACAGTATCCTTGTAAAATCTGTAAGTCTTCCCGGTACACTTAAATTCCAGGTTTTTTGTCAGCTGAATAATAACACACCACTCAAGGCAATGCGTTGGCATGTAGTTCTCCTCTCTGCGAGACTTTTATTCCCATGATATGTCCTCGTTTTTGTGCCCGAGATGTCAAGCCTTTGAACTCTTCTTTGTGTAATAAAAGGACTCAGACACTTCTCTCTGACTCCGTGTCCTTTATTTGGGGTTCGCGTTCTCCTTCCCACACGGCACTCCTCCTGAGACTCTCTCCCTGGCAGCCCCACATCTGCCTTCGCTCCCGTGGCCTTCCACGCTCCTGCAGCTCCGCTGCAGGCTCTTGGTACAGCCCTCTGGCTGCTCCCCCAGCAGCTCCATCGCTGCTCCCTGTTCCTCCGTGCGTGGCGATCTCGCCACCTCCCAATGTCAGCCCTTCGTGGCCTCTATGGCTATCTCGCCATTTCCTACCTCAGCCCTTCGTGGCCTCTGTGGCTATCTCGCCATTTCCTACCTCAGCCCTTCGTGGCCTCTGTGGCTATCTCGCCACTTCCTACCTCAATCCTCCACTCTCTCTTCCACCCCGCTGGCTGGCGCCGTCATGAGCCCCTCAGCCACCAGGCTGAGGCACGGCGACCACCCAACGTGTTCACCACCCTTCACTCCCCCGACTGACCCAGATAGCTTCCTGTCTCCCCGCTATAACTTCTCCCCCACGTCACCCTGACTCCTCCCTCTTGGATCGTCATATCCGCCCCGCCCATTTACGCCCGCATTACACTACCCTCCCCCGTAGAGAAAATCCCAGCCGTCCTCGGCTGAAACAGAACAAAATAATGCGGGCGAAGGCATCACAATCAGGAGTCCCCCAGATACAACGGAGATTATAACAACAACAACACAAGCAACGAAAGGGGAGGTATCAGGAACTGGAACAGAACACCGGCCTGTCCTCCGCGCAACATCAACAAGAATAAGAATGGCACAATGAACAAAAACGGCAACTGACACGCAAGAACGGCCAACGCGCACAACCCAGAAATGTGATGTTTTAGTGCGTGTCCATGTTGCAGTTCCATCCGCTCGGCTCAAGTTCAACGTCAAAGAGCAAGTGGTAGAGCAGAACGACGAACGGCGCTCAATTGCTCCTTCAAGTCCTCATCCAGCTAGCACACCAGGTAACACCCAGTGCGACGAGAGCTGAAGAATCTGTGACGAGAAGGAGAATCCAATCCCCTGAGGCACAGCACAACAACGCACATCCGCATGTCGTACACGACAGCCACCCGGCCTCAGGGTAGTGGAGATGATTAAAATCCAGCCCGCTTAAAAAAAAACTCCCCATAAATACCCAAAATAACGCAATGGATGCCCCAGTATTTACATTTTAACAACAATATTATTTACACGTGACAACAACAACAACATTTTCTGCTCTTACCCACCAGCAGTCCTCCCTTGAGGACCAGCACAGACATCGCACGTACACAGCATGTACCCACGGTCACTCTCAGCAACCCAACAAAACGCCTAATCGCACACCCTCGCGTGGAGAGAGCCACGCTCCCCAGCGGTAATGTTTAACTCGCCCTAACCCCCACCGTGGTCGTCAACCCACAGCAACATCCACTGACCATACTCTCAGCTAGTGCAATTTCGGGGATGAGCAGCAACTCGGCCACGCTCCTCCCTTACTATCCCATCAGAGATGGACACACACCAGCCTCGTATAGTCCGATGCTTTATAGCCCAGGGAAGGTTCATCCCCCAGGAATGCCAGACCCCCTGTACTCCCCCCACGGGGCAATGTTCTCTTATAGAGACAATAACACCCTAACCCAGATCCCGTGAGCCCCCGGCACACCAGGTTCAGTCTGCCACCGCACAACTGAACCACGACTCCCCGAGCCATATGAGCACATGGCCCATTAGTTTAAGACATACCACGGAGGTTTCGCCTCCGGGCTGTCAGGTCAGCCATCAGCCATAGCCCGATGTGACCACAACTCGTGCATCACCCAATCAACAATGGCAGGCATAACAGATGGAATATTTGCCCCACCCCGGTTTTTCCCGCGCGCTCAAAATGGCGTCCCCCTTCGCCCAGCGCGTTCGCGCAATCTCTCGCGCGCACTCAAAATGGCGGCCCTTTCCGCAAAGCGCATCGTCACCATACCCCGCGTGCGCGCAAAATGGCGGCCCAACGTGCGAACACGTGGCCAGTTTTCTCCATTCGTGCACCCCAGCTTCCCTTAGCTGGGGGTCACAAGACGCATCTCCCGTCACATTATAACAACCCCACCAACGATAGACGCACAGCCCCAGCTTGCTGCGCACAGCTGTCATATCGTGGAATTTTTAACCAATATTTTACCAACCACATTAGTTACACAACCCAACTCGCCAAGCAACTCGTGGCTGCATGCGATCAACCGAATACGCGACGCCACTTGGCGCCAATTTACGGTCCCATTAGCATTAACCTTTGAGACACCCACAACGGCGTCATCACGCACCCTCAAAGCGCGCTCTCTCAAAAAGCGCAATTACCCATAATATACACAAAATCTCGTGTGCACAACACCAATACAACCGAATTTTAGGGTCCCCCTCTATAATATACACGCAATCTCGTGTGCACAACACCAATACAACCGAATTTTAGGGTCCCCCTCTATAATATACACGCAATCTCGTGTGCACAACAACCATACAACCAATTATTTGGGTCCCCCTCGAATTTGTTACCAATTTCCAACAGGTACGCACAATATAATAACAATCCCAATTCCAATAATCAACCACTGCATCGCACCCCATAACCATACAGAACGGTATAACAGCACATGCAATCAGCATATCGCGATCACACGCGCACATTTAAGCACAATAGCAAGCAGATCTGCAGGCAACCAACACAACATTAATCCTGTCGTAACTTTGCAGCAACAACACAATTATTCTCTCTCTTGCAACAATCGCATCGCACACAGCACCTCGCAGCACAATACACCAAAAAAATATATATTTTTTTCCCAATTAAGCCCATCGCACAAGGTAACCCACAAATAATACAGCGCAAGATACCCGACGCTCCCAAGTTAATAATTAACTTCACCATCAAGATAACAACTCCACGCAGCAGCGCACACACACAATTTGACACTCAGCAAATACAGCAGACTCTCCGTCCATTCTCAACACACGCACACACTTACATTGACACCAAGCAACAAGCAGATAGCGCGTTCATCGTTATTACACACACATACACACAGTCCGAACCGCGCTCCGCACAATCGAGTCATAAGAGAAAACCAAAATAGCCCCCCGGCCCTCGAAAGATGAGTGAGGTGTGTGTTAAGGCCGGGTGCGTATCGTTATGACTCGCCCTGGGCTGCAGCAAGAAGAGGACGGCAGGGTGGCAACTTGAGACGCCTCGCAGAACTCGTTCGGCGACTTGACGGCTCCGTTGTCACGCACCCGAGCCAGGACGGGAAGCTCCCGCCCCAGCAGCTGCAGCATCGGCGTCTTCTCCTCGCAGCACCCCCTCGAAAAACAGCAGCTCACAGCAGGCTGCTCACCCCGCGGCACCTCCAGATGGCAGCGCAAGGCTGCCTCTCCGCCGCGATGTTGAAGATGGCGGCGTCCTCCCGCCGCGGTGAAGACAAGATGGCGGCTTCCCGCCGTTTCTCCCCTGCCACGCCCAAGATGGCGTCTTCGTGCCACGTGGCAATGGCGCTGGCAGCGCAGGAAAGGCAGAGGCCTGCGGATCACCACCGGGCCTCCCCGTCGTCGTCCTCGGCGTGGTGAACTCACACAGTCGCGCCAGCACGATTTTCAAGGTCCCCATCTGCATCGTCATCTGTCTCCATCGTAAGTTGGCGTCCTCCGGCACAGACAGGTCCACCGACGCGGCGACACCTTGCTCACCCGGACCCGTACTCGTTCCAGAGCGGATCTCCTCTTCCATCGCAGGCAGGTCCACCGTCTGAGGAAGGTCGTCGTCGTCGGATGATGTAGCAGATGATGGCGCAGGAATATTCTTTTTTCTTTCTCTCAGTTGTTTTGAGATGCCGTTTCACTTCTGACACCAGTGTAATAAAAGGACTCAGACACTTCTCTCTGACTCCGTGTCCTTTATTTGGGGTTCGCGTTCTCCTTCCCACACGGCACTCCTCCTGAGACTCTCTCCCTGGCAGCCCCACATCTGCCTTCGCTCCCGTGGCCTTCCACGCTCCTGCAGCTCCGCTGCAGGCTCTTGGTACAGCCCTCTGGCTGCTCCCCCAGCAGCTCCATCGCTGCTCCCTGTTCCTCCGTGCGTGGCGATCTCGCCACCTCCCAATGTCAGCCCTTCGTGGCCTCTATGGCTATCTCGCCATTTCCTACCTCAGCCCTTCGTGGCCTCTGTGGCTATCTCGCCATTTCCTACCTCAGCCCTTCGTGGCCTCTGTGGCTATCTCGCTACTTCCTACCTCAATCCTCCACTCTCTCTTCCACCCCGCTGGCTGGCGCCGTCATGAGCCCCTCAGCCACCAGGCTGAGGCACGGCGACCACCCAACGTGTTCACCACCCTTCACTCCCCCGACTGACCCAGATAGCTTCCTGTCTCCCCGCTATAACTTCTCCCCCACGTCACCCTGACTCCTCCCTCTTGGATCGTCATATCCGCCCCGCCCATTTACGCCCGCATTACATTTGGAATACATTAGCGTACATTATACAATAATGTATGAGAGCAGTGCTATCTTACCAACATCTTTAAATGTATTAGATCATTATACACGTGACTGTGAGGGATTCCGTAATGGCAGAACTATTTTTTTTTTAGAAACTGTGTTGGTAGTGGTGCAAAGGACAAACAGAAAAAATGGAAAGAAAATCTATGATCAGGGACATTTCAGGCAATGGCCATTCAAAGGGCAAGAATGGTCATTATTATGTTTTCCTTTTAGGGTTAGTGTTATCGATGGATGTGTTACGTTTACTGAAATTATAACATTGGGTATGGATTAATGCAGAACATACATTTCACCTAATTATGTTCTCTCTGGCAGTACGACACTTCCCATGATTGAATCTTTTGAATGACCTTTGGTTATTTTATTTGAAACGTAAATGCGTTCATTAAAACAGTATATAACAATGCATATTATTTTAAAAGAGCTTATTTAATACTAATCCTCTCCAAATGGAAAACACTTCAACCTGTCAATTAAAAACTGTTTAACTGTAATGTTTTGTTTTTTAAATGTCCCAAATTTGCATTGTGAAAGTCAATTGGTCACGTTTGTTCTCTCTGTTCACAAAAAGAACCATTTTACAAAAGGACAGCTTATTATATATATGGTTTCATGTTCTAAGCCAATGGTATTTGTGCAAGTAGTGAATATACTTGTTTATATTGTGAGATTATTTCATGTGATTTGTCTCGGAAAAAGTATATCAATTGAATTTAGAAGGGCAAAGGTGCAGCACTTGCAATTATTTGGTCACGCCACTCCTGGTAGAAGGGCCTTTGCTGGAGGGAATTCTAGAAAAAAAACTCTTTCGTGCTTATTTTGGCCGACTCTTCGACACTGATCAGATATCTTGGAACATTTACAATCCGAGTACTTGTAAAAATTGTGGATTTGCTCTTCAACAATTCGTTCCTGTACTAGTAACGAATTGGCATATATTCTGCTTACGTGACAACCTTTACTAATTGGCTGTGTCGGGTGGTGGAGGGTTTAACGACACATTTTTATTTACCGGATTTAACCCCGACAAAACGATGTTATGAACAGTGATGTGTAATCACATAAGACCGTTCAAAATCCCTCTCTTAACACAAAGCATAAGCTGATGCATAAGGGTTGTAAAATAAATATAATCAGATGTGGTGTGAAGATATTTATGTGTGTGGGAAGTAGGCTTACCACCTATGAGGTACACAACGGAAAATATCATGGGAAGAAGTACATATCATGATTCCAGAGGATGGGAAAACTACGTGTGAGTTGAGTGCTATTACTAGTTGAGTGTTATTATCCCAAACAGCTTTGTTTTTTTTTTCGTTGATGACTGCTGCGCATTTTGGGCCTTTGGGCTCAGCAACTGTGTTCAAAAAAATCCATTTCAAAAAGAGGATGAGCAATATTTTCCATGAGCCAGAGCAGAAATCGGTACCACCAAAGGTGGCACAATTTTCCTCGTACCGATGTGTCTTCATGGCTAATACAAGTGAATCACGTACTTGATAACTCAGTTGCTCCGAACGATTATCACACGATTTACTGAACCAGTTAAAGTAATGCCACCTCAGGTGGTACCAACAAATGTGACATCTGTTCCGAACCAATGGGAAAAGCAGGGACAGGTTGCAACCCACGTGGGGAAGCACTGAGTTGAACATTTGAGAATAAAATGGACAGGCGCAGACAATTCAAGAGATTAAATAACTGCCCCTCTGCTATTGTTCGTACAAATGTTTGCACATGTCCATTGTTGTTCTCCGATTAACCATCAGCTCTTCTTTGTTCTGTTTGCCATTTTGATTGAACTGTTCAATAAGAGCAGTCTGAATTATTTATGGACCACATGTTAAAATATTACGAATTATATCCGAGCCAAAATGGAAGAGAAGGTACAGGACGCAAAATTGAATAATACAGATATGTGGATATGAAACGAATCACAATGTAACTAAATAGTCCAGTTTCACACTCACAAGAATGCACAATAAACAATGATATTTACAAGGTAGTTATGTACGCATCATGTTTCCACTCTGCTCAAAACATTACACAAATTATCTCAAACAATATATATAAAAACAACACTCGGTGCAAGCTTCAACTTGCACCTTCATTTCAAAGATAATTCATATTTGGCTTTTCATATCATCGTGTCTGCAACTCTTAAGGTAAGTAACAAAAATATTATTTACAAATTATGTTGTATGTGTGATGTTTCGAAGTATGTGCAATCAACAAGTGTTTGGACAATATATACAATTGTACTATTGTTTATTAACTAGTCTCTTTTATACAGCATATATGTATAGAATTCTGATACTCTTATTAAAAGAGAAAATTGTGCTGGAAATGAGTAAAGGTGAGCACTTATATTAACATTATTACAGTGTCCCCAGTGATTGAACTTACACTCGACAGTCCTGCACTCAAATCCATATTTACAGTTTTCACAACTTACACATCGCTCACTATGAAACCTGAACGTAACATTGCTCGCATAAATCAGACGAAACTGCCATCAGACCACACAGACACCTGGTCAGTCAATGAAGGTAAAAAAAACGACCATAAGCTGCTATCGTTTAGTTTGTCTTATCTATTTTTAAAATAGTAAGGTGACAGAATTGTTCCAGATGCTGCCGTCCCTTTTGGCATTGTCCAAGGGGTTATAAAAATCAAATCATGGTCGAGCAGAGTTTTTTTGCCCCAAAACGTCGCTCAAGGTAGCCCGTTGGTGTAAATGCCATTCAGGGGCAGGTGATAGGCAGGGTCTTGTGGCTGATAACTAAAAACGTTGCAGGGCAGCAAAGTTTCACGACGTCCAGTCCAAACGGTGGCCGGCACCTCCAGGCCACCACCGCTCACGCCACCGTCCATCACTCCCGCGCCGCCGCTGTCATCAACGTCGAGCGCAGGGCGGCCCTGTGGCAACGTGTTCGAGTTGTTATTCCGCTGTAGACTGAAGGGGTGTGCACTGGTGGGCAGTGAGCTTGCGAGGCCACCGCCGCCGTCGCCGCCACCGCCACTCGAGGCCTGGGTGGGATTGATCGCAGCCTTGATATCGCTGTTCTCGTAGACGTGCGTCTCCAGGCCCCAGTGAGCGGTGCGGAGGCCGGGAGTCTCACGCCTCCCGGTGGTCCCGGCACCCCGCCGATGTTAGACATCGCATCGTGCTGCGAATACTGTGCCCAGCTCGGCAGTTGGGTGCGTGTTGATGCGACGCTGGCGGCGGATGCGCGTAGCTGCTCCAGAGCCAACAGCTTGGCAGGGAGAGGCAGTGCGCGGGAAGGCAAGGGCGCCTCTGGAATCACTTTGGTCGTCTCGCCTCCGCCTTGGTGCCAAGCCCGTGGCTTGTGGGCAGATGTGCGGGAACGGTGGTTGTGTAACCGCCGTCGAAATCCAGCGCTTTCTCCAGCAAATGCCCTTGCAGTTTCCAGCCGCAATCCACCGTGATTTCTGAAAACGTCTCCGTCTCGCGGACGTCCGGCGATGACGATAGAGTGATTCTCAGGAATCCTTGCAGGCTCTCGGGCTGGGAGCATAAATAATGATGAACATTAACGGGTGGACAACAACACAATACACTGTTCATGCAATAATGACATCGTCAACACATTATCTATACATATGATAACTACATTGGCTGATTGGTGATGCAGTACTCGGAGCACTCTGCCGTGAAGCCAGTGGTGGAAATTCTATATTCCTCTAGTAGGCGTGCGTATATCCATAAGACAACCGCTGTTGACTTTCCTGGTCTGGAACTCAACGTTATACTAAACATGTGTCCATATTGGATCATATTACGAGAGTTAAAGTGTCCCCCCTGCCACGATCCCCATAGCAGATGGATAGGGAGAGCTCATCTAATGCATGGACACTTTCCATATTAGTTGGAAAGCATTAGAAAGAAACGTCAAACACATGAGAACTTTTGCCAAACAGGTGCCTGTATAGGACCAACCCCCACATTTGGAACGGCGCATGAACTATAGCAACATGACGCACAGCGGCTTGGCCAATGTACGCCTCATGCTATAAAAACTGAGAGAATACCCAACTGCGCTGTATTCGTTTAATTTGAACTGTGCAATACAGTACCTTGCTGAAGTCAATGTCCCTTGCCCAGCTGCAGTTTTTGGGATCCGGAACTTTGTGAAAAAATACATGCTTCATTCTGTGAAAACACAAATGAGAAATCCACGGGCAAACGAGGCAACGTTTACTTTCAAATGGTGACCAAAAATAACCATGTAAAATCTTTATCAGTCTCTTGTTTTGTCCTTGGGTAATATTATCACGTCTTGGTGTAATGTCGAGCTCTTCCACAATGTATTTTCTCTGCAATTATTGATCTGAGTGATGAATTTGCTATTATCTAAAATACACCATTTGTTGTACTGCATTCGAGGCGAGGCGTAGATAATGATGATGCAATAACGGAACCATATGTGCTGCTATTGTGTGAATGCAAAGGCCTGCCGAAGGGACATCAGAAATTGGCCTGTGACTTGAATCGTGTCGGGTCGTTTTATAAAACAATGTGGTGCACTGCTAGCCAGAAAAAGTTCGGAATGGATTATTTTTGTCCCATAAAACAATACTAAAAAGTAACCACACGCAGTTATATTCCATTGCATGCCTGTGAGATAAAAATGTGAAGAAAAAAATAGAACTTCAGAAAGAGAATTATCCATCATTATCATCATCATCCATCGTGATATATCCACTGCTGGATGAACGCCTCCATAAGCCGTCATCATCTCCCACAGTCTTGCAATGCAATCATCCATCTATCTCCTCTGCATGAGCTGCATTCATCATCGCTCTATCTTTGAGATGGGCATTCCTCTTGGGCGATGTTCTCTCCTTTGACTGCCATTCATTCGTTGTGCTCAGTCATTGCTCGATATTTCTTCTCGCAGAATGTCCTGCCCAAACCCACTGACTTTATTTCATTTATTTACAAGAAACTTTCTATTTTACCGGGTAAGCCCACTGTGCGATAGCTATTTTTAGAGGTGATCTGGCGACACGTGAAAGCTAATCGAAGTCGCTTATTATCTATCATACGTGGGAGTTTATAGTGGCAGCCAAATATGTAATCTAAATGTATGTTTTTAATTGCAGAGGAAAAACTGGAGGAAAATCCACAAGACCACCACAGGGAGAAAACACGCGGACTACAAATATACACGAGTCAATGTGGGGATAGAATCCTGCTTACGAGTCAAGGGAGACAACATCGAACCACTACAGACAATGTGATGTCTCTAATTTTCATTTCATTGCGAAAAAATTGTATTCGTTTCTTGCAATTTCAACCCTCTGTTATCATCGTGGGAGATACAACAACACGGAGCATAAACCATCATTTAAACTCAAGTCATCCTCGCAGCCGCTTCTGGCCACTTTCAGATGCGCTTCTGCGGCCGTCTGGAACGCTCTTCCTTCCGATACTAGGAAGCCACTGGAGCTATCTCTTATAAATCTAGATTTAAAACTTTTAAATCTAGATTTAAAACTAATTTCTTTAGGACTGCTTTTTGTGTTGAGTTTGTTGTCCTTCCTTGCACCACCAATCAGCACGATTTGCTACATACAGCGAGAATTAAGTTCGACATACATACGTGTGTTGGGGACTCGGCGGTGCCTGGCCAGTAAATCATCACCTTAGGCAAAAGCCCTAGGCAGATATTAGCATTCGACTCAGAGATGCTTGGCCAGTGAGTCATCTTTGGGGGCAAAGCCCTGGGCAAGAATTGACTAATTGAGAGCGAGATAAGAGAAGGGAGTTTGGGGTGCGGAGCGCTGAAGCGTGGCGTGTTTCCTGCGGTATGACCGGGGATGTTAACTGTGGGTCATCTAATGAAGTGACCCTTTGCGGAACACGGTGTGAGCTGAAGCCTTTCATATACCTACATAATGAGGTGGTCTTTCTGGAAATAATGACTCAGGTAGCTGTCTCTGGCTTAGTGGTGTGGGACCCCTGGTGTAAAATGAGCTATACGTGTTGAACTTCTTTTGCACCTTACGTAGACAATTGTACGTAGCTAACCGTGCTTATCGACATCAAACGAGCCTCTAAGAGACCAATGTACCCACAACAGGGTAGCGGGATCATGGGAAATATGTTGATTAATAACGGCCGATAATCATCAAAGAGACCAATGGAATTAATAAATAATAGAGGTTTTTGGGTGAGATCGCGTAAATATATAAATGTGTCGTTAAAACCCGCCACCACCCGACACAGCTTAATCAGGCACAGACAGATTTGTGGAGAAGTCTAACTGTTTCGTTCCTTATATAGAGGCGTAAATCTGTTGACCACCCTTCTGCGCTCTTGCACAATGTGGGGGGGGGGGGGGTTACTGAGGCAACGTACATTATGCATGTGCATTATGCGAGCTCTTTGAACTTGTCCTTCAAGTCTATTGTGTTTATTAAAATAGCCCTACCAACGGTAGTACTTCAGTTATAATGTACGTTGCCTCAGTAACCCCCCCCCCACCCACATTGTGCAAGAGCGCAGATGAAGCTAATTGTAATTACTGGCGAAACGTCGTACTCAGATTGTAAATGTTGTGGCTTGGCTCTCCAACACACCGGTGTGCTGTACTAGTGATGAATTGGCATGTTCTGTTTACGTGACAACCCTTACTAGTTGGCTGTGTCGGGTGGTGGCCGGTTTTAACGACACATTTATATATTTACGCGATCTCACCCAAAAACCTCTATTATGGATGATATTGGTTGTGAAAGCCTACGTGTTAAACTGGAATTCATAAACACTGTGGAAGGAGTGTTTGCATCTCGGGACATGTTCCAACCGCATATCTCAACAATGTGATATAAATATGCCAGGTTTGGGTATGCCGTCTAAATTAAATTTTTTATATCTTGAATTTAACTCCTATTTCCACTCACTCCATTAAATGGTTCTGCTTTGCCACATGCTCTTGCAATTTTTTTCGTAAGAACTACTAAGAGTCGAGTTGCCACCTCCGAGGTAAAACGAATTGGGGCATTTCATGGGAAAACGAGTATCTTGCAATACCAGAAGAGGGGAGAACTACGTGTAAATGCATTGTCTGGAGTGGTGTATCAATACATAATCGACAAATACAAATTATTTGCGGCCACTACGTCTGCAAATTTGCGCGCGTTACAAATTGAACTATTATTATGAATGTCCCGGCAAGACTTACAGATTTCCCAGAAAAGCTTCCTTTGAAAGAGGGGACTTCCTCGGAAAACCAGGAATGGTGGCAACCCCACACGCATCCAATGCTCTGGCGAGTTACCTGGCTGGGACGATGACGATGCAGATGCATGTGATGATCCCACCGGACAGAAGCAATAGACCGGCAATGAGCATCATGATGAAAACGAATTCACGGAAACCTGCCCAATAGAACAAACACACAGGCAAAAATCGCGCGTGAAAATGCACTCCTGTGATCATCAGAATGATATGCTTTTAAAGGTAGAGGAGCAGCACTACAATTGCTTGCTCATCTCACTGCTAACAGAAGGGCTTCTATTAGAGTGAGCTGTAGAGAACGCTTCTATGCTGGGCAAAGGTATGTATGTACGTTGAACTTCTTTTGCACCATACGTAGTCAACCGTGCGAATCAAATGTCTTGGAAGAGGTGGTATTATCTACACTTTGCACCACCACACACGACCTGACAATTCACTGTGGTTGCACATCGAACTGGCAACCTCTGGATTGCAAGTTCATTGCAAACATGTTACATCATGGCAGCATCCTACGTAACTTTACATTTTACAAAAAATGTTGTCTTCACTCACAGTGAGTCTCAAGGCACTTTGACCAGAATTTAATGATTACATCAAGAAATGTAGGACCTACTACTAGTGAAATTAAATGTAAATGCTTTTTCTCAGTTATTCGTCATCTGTGCTATGACAGCACACAATCACATATATTCTACATCATCACATAATTAAGTATCACCATTGTCATCATTGCTATAACCACAAATTCGACCACCAAATTCATCTGCACAAGTCACACACAGGTCTCAGCACTGAGGAAACTATTTCACGTCAGTTTTACACAAGACAGTGAGAAATAAACAATTTGTAATGCACACAGTTTGTGTTCATATATAGAGGGAGATAATGATTTTGAGGCGAAGGAACCACAATCAAGCGGGGAGGAGGCTAGAACTGGTGCCAACAATTTCCCAAGCTCTGTTGACTTATATTTGGTTGTTTGGCAGAACTCCATATTTGGTTGTTCAGCAAAATCCATTGACTTTCATGCATCATTTCCTTTGGTCGATGTCTAATGGGAATTACCAGATGGTTGCAAAGCTCAATGCTAGCAAACTGTTCTGGAGTTGCAGATGTAACTGAAATAACTGGGGTACAGACAGGAATCACTGTTGGCGATAGCAAAGAGGAACAAGGTGAGAGCTGGCCGTGTCGTGGGCTAGAGGGCACTTTCCATCACCATCCTGCAGGGTCCAGCCAACGGGACGAGCAATGGAGGTCGGCCACAAAGCAGCTGAACAATGAATGTAGCGACTTAGGACGGTGAGGTCAGTGGCAAAATTGTGCAGATCGCGAAAAAGTACAAGAGATGGATAGAGTTTATTGCAAAAAGCATGACTGGTGCCCCTACAATTCCACTCAGGGCCCTCATGACCTCACGGTTAACAGTACTGATCACGATGATGATGTTGAGTGCACTCAATGTTTAAATTCTCAAGGCACTCTAAATGCCAACCAAAAAACCTCCCCGCACCCCGTCTGCACCTCGGTCATCCTCCCCGATGGTGGAAAGTTAAATATTTTCTGTAAATTAGTCACAGAGAAAGCCCTTGTTGAAATGATACCCTGAGGGCACTACCCAGGTCACTGCCCTGCAATGCCGGAACACTGTCGTGCTCACTTACCTGTGACGGCCTTGCTTGTGAGGCTGCGTGGACCCTCTCCGGCTGAAGTCACAGCCGCCACCTGAAGCTCGTACTCCGTGTTGGGCTCCAGCCCTTCTAGGCGGTGGCTGCTTATGCATGTGCCCTCCACTGGTGATGTGCAGGGCACCAGCACTGAAAACAGAGGCAGTGGAACAAAATCATTTTAGGGGTGGGGGGCAGGCGAAGTGTTTTGGGAGGTAGTCAATGATGGTTGGACATTTTTGAAAAATAGCTTCGTAGCCAATCGGATTTATCCAGGATAAATACAGATTCTGATTGAGGTGGAGCGGAGGAGGCACGGCGGATGGGAATTGCTACAGAAAGGATTATTTGAATACTGACATAAACACAGAGACATATAGATAAGCACACACACACACTTATAAAAAGACATGAAAACAGATGCAGACAGATACAGGGAGACAGACAGATACAAAGAGTTACATGCAGAACGAGACACACATAGACACACACACAGACATAGATACACACACGCATGCAGAGACACAGAGACAGACACAGAGACACGTGCAGGAAAATACATAAACACACACATATGCAGAAAACACTAGACTCTTATCCATCATATTGTGTATCCGCCGTTTTTGTCTATCCTCCATATTCATTGAATACACAAAGTAACTTTCAATTCTCAATTAGTAAAAAGCTAAGGTGGCAGGGGCTGGCAAGGGGAAATTACGAAGGGGTGGGAGGTGGGCGTGGAGGGTGGGGTGTGCTATTGTCATTGGTGTTGATTTTCAGTTTAGTTAGGGGTTTGTCGTAAATGGGGGATATATTTGGTCAATAGCCTTCATATGTCGATGCTTCTCTCACGAATGGGGTGCTCTGACGTTGCTCGACAGGTGCAAGGCAGGAATTTTTATCTCGGTAGTTGAACATTCTGAAAAAGGGTTGGGCTAATTCAGTGTCGGCTCCTGCAAAATCTCTCAGGGGGGGCAAATGTCTGGATGATTGATAAGGATAAGGTCAACCCATGCAATGGATACATTAACAGCTTAAGCATGTAAAGGCAACTTCACTTCTTTAATATTAATGAAAATAAAGTGACTCTTACAATACATCTCCTTGTTTGTTTCTATACTCACTATTAATAGAATCCACTCAAGTTTCTTTTATTAAAGATTCCACTCAGTGGCGACAAATTATATTGTTGGATGAAACGTGCTTAAGTATGATGACGTAAGTACGTTAGGGCGAGCCCTCCCGGAAGCCATAGAGAATGCATTGGAGCGCCCGCCGTTCGAAAAAAAACATCTTTGAATGTAAGTCTATGGGGCCACTCGGGGCGATTCTCAGCCGGAGTGAAATCGCCCAAAAAGAGGCGGTACTCCACAGAACGTAGCATGACGCTGATTGGACTATATCCAGAGGCACAGTGACGGCTAGCGTGACTCTGTGGTTGAATGACATTGGTGGTGCGTCGCCCAATCGCCCTAATGAAGAAACCGCCCCTGGGCTAATTCCGTTGCAGAGGGTTTCTCTACTGGGTTTCATGGGCTCATTCTGGGCTTGGCTCATGCAGCCACTGTATGAAGAAACGTCGTCGTGTGTGGCAGATGGCCTTTTTCACATTTGTTTATTGTGTTCCTAATGTCCAGGTAAGCTTGTGCTGACGGGGAATTTTGCCATTTTGGTCCATTTAGCTCATTGGGGCAGGAAGCCACGAACAGGCTGGAAGGCAGCCAGAAACGGACACTGCCGATTATTACTCAAGCTCTTTGGTGTGCCAGGAGGTGGGGGGGGGTCATTGCTCTGTATACACCCAGTGGAGTCATTTTAATTTACATGTCCAAATTGAGCAAATTTGGACCATGAAGTCGTCACAGAGTGGCCTATTCTTTGGCGAAAGATATCTCACGGGATGTTTAAACGTCCTCCGTGAAGCAGATGGCAGGTATTTTTTAAAACGGTTAATACACCCGCAGGATTCATTGCTGGATTTGAACGGTGAGGATGGCATGAATACCGAATATACTAAATTATTGTGATTAATTATTATAAGATGCTAAGCCATTAGTGGTAACTGAGGCTTGTGGGTGGTATAGCGTAACTCACACGTTTGTATGAATTGGCGGACAAACCAACATTTCTCAAGGAGAAAACCACATTATTTGGGGTTTTCTGTCTCAAACTCTGATCCACTCTACCTCTCAGGCCTCTCTCTGTGCTGCGAAGAAGGGCAATTGCCCGGAATGTCGCCCATTATGGACTTTTCCTTTCAAGCTGCCATTATTGACAAATGTTTTGACATTTTTTGGAACTATTTCTGATACTTTTCTGGCTTCTAAAGTGATAGCATATGCGATGGATTGATATTGTTGCGCAATACCTATGACAATATTACTGTTCTGGTATTGTGCTCTTTAAAAAATCCTGTCTTGTTTTAATTTAATGGCAGGATGCTTCTCTAATTTAATTGTGATAGCTTCAGTGAGGATCTTGTCGTCTGCGTTTAGAAGATAGATTGCTCCCTATAATTTGTGTAATGGTCTGATGGAGTGTTCTGTTTGTGCATCGCCGATTTACAGGCTTCAGTGAGTCATGAAGTGTTCTGGATGTAATTGCCTTGGTTACAGCCAACCAATTTAAATAACGTTAAAGTTGAACAACAAATGCAGGGGGCTGCATTGGCAGTGGTGTAGAAGCACATGTTTGAAATATTTTACAACTGTTGTGGACTAATGATAATTATGGTAAATATTTTCACCCAATACAGTATATGTAAACAAGTGAAAAGCACACCGCATCTGCGCACTATGCAAAACCCATCAACCGTTTCTGAAGAAGTGCATTGTGGTCCTCTTGTTTTAGGGTCATCATAAACGTTTCTTTCAGAAAATGTGACTGACTGATGGCAGTAGTGCTACAGAGATATCTATCTCTGTAGCACTACTGTGGACTGGTTTCTTTGTTATATAGTCACCAATGCTCACAATATATACATGGAGTTTCCACTCTGACACTCTGGGGTCCATTTAGTTTGGTTGGTTTTTGCATTATATATATGTGCTTGTGTGCTTTTAATTGTTATGATAGATTTCTCTTGTAATTTACAGATTTTAATTAAAACAAGTTAGAATTCTGGTGTTGCAGAATTGTTTTTGCATGTTCAAATAGATGATCAGGGAGAGTAATATTCCATTTAGCTTGCATTCCAACATGTCTTGGACTATACATACGCTATTGTAAGTGCACTGCAGTTCAAACAATGCATATTTATGGGAAGGACTAACATTTGTGCGTAATGCTATAAACACTTTGGTCCTTGAACATTTCAGCTCATACAAATACTGTACTGTATTGTGCAAATGCAATTCACTTCTGAGAAATATAGCAATTCTTCTGGCTAAATCACGAAAATAATCTATGAATAATTTTGTACTGGTGTGGTCGTATCTTTTATTATGCAAACGCAATTGAGTAACATCTCTCATACTGTATAACATCATAACGCTAGAAAATATTGGTTATTTAAATTTATATAGAAACATAATTCTCCATCTTCAGTCATTTTAAATGGAATTTTTTCAATGCAGCTCATACACATTGTTATACCATGCCTGTTTTGGATACACAATACTATTTTGTGCATCACTCAAAGGTTAGATATTTAATTTTGTCATTTGCTTCAGGCACCTCCTTTGTAATGGGTATCTCCATCACTGCAATCCGTATATGCACTCTAGGCTAAAAACAGCCTCAAAACTAGGATAGCGAATGATATTCAGCCTGCTTTCATTCATTTGTTTTCCTTCAAAGTCCCTCGTGGTGTTATTTAGACGTGAGAGAAATTGCAAAACGTCCACGGCTGTATTCATGCTCCGAAGCGAAATACTCGAGGCCCTGTTCAATCGTTACCGCGTGGGCTTTTGCACTCGTGCCATATTGCTCGCCAATGGCGTGTTCGGGATTGTGCCACGCACGATCGTTCGACACAACATCGCGACGTATTTCACTCTCCAGCAGCCGAAGCTCCCAGCGCGCGGAGCGAAACACCACGGACATCGTACCGAACAACGCGCGGTGCAGCCAAAATGCACGCCGGAGCAATGTGTTCACATTCTTGACAAAGCGGCCAACACACATTGGTGATTTGCTCCACAGTCATAGGCACATTGAAGTTTGTTTGCCACAAAAATCGACGAAAATAAGTATTGATATGATATATGTGAGAATGAGCTTCATTGCTCTTCGGATTCCTCCAAGATAAGGAGAGATTCTGATTGTAATAAGGTGTTTATTGCACATTAAACACTACCGTGTTACTGATTAAAGAAAACAATCTTCTGCAGATGTTGGCATCTGCCGCTGCGCTGTGAGCGATATTGATGATCGTAGTGACGAGGACGCAAGGTGTGGTGTCGAACTGCACATGGCTCGTGACCATCAACACTTCAGCAATCACGTAAGCCTAGACATTCTATCTATTTTCATCTGAAGATCACGACAGCGACGACATTGATGACGGTGGTGAGAGTAATGAAGGCTTAACTGCAGTCTGAGCATGCATACTCCGCACCTCGTTTTGCTTGTCCGTCGCCAAACGACGGTCGGTAGTAGATGGCGTAGTGGGTGAGAAAGCCGTGCAGGTGGTCGATGCCCAGGGGGTCCCAGCGGACGTCGCACACGCTCGCGGAGCAGCTGTGTGTCAGCACGTTCCTCGGCGCCACCACTGGAGCTGACGAGCAGAAGCGAGCGTTTTTTGATCGGTATTCATCGTCGCGATGCTTTGCTCTCGCGAGAAGCGCACAGATCTACGGCATTAATCATGGAAGAGGTTTTCTATTTTTTGTGGGAGAGTGTCTCACCTCCTTGCTTCATGTAGGTGTAGGTGCTGCTGCAATTCCCCTCTCCTTGCTGGTAGCTTGCGTACACAGAGACCTTGTACCGCACGTAGTCCTGGAAGTTATCTGTTGAGAGAATTTAAGTCATGTGACCCATACCAACGTCTTCATCTGAGGAAGGACAATTGCCCGAAATGGTAGCATCCTATTTTCATTTCTCTTATAGGGGAGTGTGTTTTTATTGCGTCTAACATGAGAAAAAAAATCTAATTTGGTACTGTCATACATAAAAGCTCTTCATGTAGTCATCAGCAACCATGATTTCTCCGCTACTGCATGAAAGCCTACCCATGTCGACACCATCGCTCGTGGCCTCGCGATACAATAATCGACCCCACTGCTGTACCGCGGGCTGATCTCTCATTGCCCCATCTCTGGGGCAGTAGTCCTCTTGGGTATGTTCCCGCCTTCGGATGCCATTCACCACCAGTATTGTCCACCGTCTATCACCCCTTCCAGTGATGCTCGCTATCCTTGAGGTGAGTTTTTTTTTTTCTGGACGCATCCAGCACCTCAGTGTCGTGATGGCATCAGGAGCCTGGGCACAACTATTTCTTTTGCCGCGCGAGAGGCCTCCCATATTTAGGTGGCGCATACAGAATGCTGGGCTTTTTGTTTTTTGGCCTTCTCATGGGGCCTCGAAGAAATTCATTTGACAGCTCCTTCGGTTGTTGTTCCAACCGAGGGGCCGTTTTACCAGCGTCCGGTCCACCGTGGTGGTGGTGGTGGTGGCAGCATCAGTTGTGCCAGGCACTTAACATGAAAGCTGGGTGCAGGTAACCATCGTCTTCCTCTGCCTCTCTTTCGAGAACGTAGAAATACCCGCTCTTTCTGCTCGGCATCTCAATGTTCGCTCGAATTTATTTCCACATCGATTTCTTGTTTTTGTTTGTTGTTGTGGGTTGCACCGCACCTGTGAGCAACGCGCTCGTGTTGATGGAGCTCACACGGCGCCACCTGATGCGGCCGAGGTCCAGAGCCGACACGTTGGCCCACTCGACCAGGTAACCCTGGGGGGGCAAGCGCCGCCCCGTGAGCACGGGCACCGCCCAGGTGACCAGCAGGGACCTCGATGCATCCGGACGCACCGACACCTGGGAGGGTGCCGGCCCTGTCATAAAGTATTCAAACAGATAACTCATTACGTTCATGTCAGACGATACAATGGATTATGTTCATCTCAGATCTCAGGTGAACATAATCGAGCACGTTGCTCACAGGTACGGTATGTTCATCTCGGGTGAACATAATCCATTGTATATTGATTAACCGTGACTAACCCAACCGGTAATATGTACTGCATATTTTCAGATGAACATAATCCATTGTAATTTATATGATTACAGTAACGCCCCCCACATGTGTTTCGCACCTGATAGGCTCATAGCGATGACATCACCTTATTTTATTTAAGACAAGAAACTGGAACCTTTTTTCATAATTATGGCAAATGGCCCGATGAAGCTGGTTGTAATCACCAGCAAAACGTCGTATTCAAATTCGAAATGTTTACTTTCTAACACACCGGTGTGCTAAAGAAGTAACTAATTGGCACGTGACAAACCTTACTAATTGTCTGTGTCGGGTGGTGGTGGGTTAACGACACAATTATATTTATGCGATCTAACCCAGATCGCGTGTCACAATTCCCATGTCAACTTATAGAAAATGCTAATTCACACATCTGTCTGCAGAGAGGCGTCTGGAACAGGGTTGCCACCGATTCCACTGTAGACCGAACCCAGATTGAATAAAATTGTACCATTATTTTTTTTATCACCTCTGGATTGCAGGTCCAGCGTGCTAACCATGACACCATGGCATAATCCTTGTTGTAGAAGACTGGAGGAACTCCGAATGCACTCATTGGCTAAGACAAGTCTATTCAACAATATTTGCCAGTTGCATACAGACACAATTGAAAATTGCATCTGGGTGGCAGGATGGCACAGTGTAACATTTGGGCCTCACAGCAAAAAGGACCTGGGTTCGATTTCTGACTCCGGAGGATTTCTCCACAAATCTGGCTGTCACCTGATGGAGCTAATTGCAATTACTGGCGAAACGTCGTACTCAGATTGTAAATGTTGTGGCTTTGCTCTTGCAACACATCGGTGTGCTGTACTAGTAACGAATTGGCATGTTCTGTTTATGTGTGTCAGGTGGTGGCGGGTTTAATGACACATTTATATATTTACACGATCTAACCCAACTCTATTATGGAGTCTGTATGTTCTTTCCTTGTTCTGGATGGATTTCCTCCAGGTTCTACAGTTTTTCCCCATCGCAAAAAAAAATCATATAAAAAGTAATTGTTGACCAGCCAAAAATACCAATGCTGAAAAATTACTTGCAAATTACTCAATTTGGATAACACATCACAACATCGCTCCCTACTATATCAGTCTGTGACACACAGCGCAGCACTACAATAATGGCATAAATACCAAACGTATTTAATTATTATTAACATTTCGCAACTAAATCTCCGATTGGGAGAATTTCCTCAGCACAGATGCTCATATAACACGCACCTTGGTAGGAACGTGCTGGGATTACGAGCAGCATGTTCCGTTTGGATCGTCCGATGGAATTGCGAGCGGCCACGGTGACACGGTGCTGCGATGGCCCCAGGGAAAGTCGATACGACGAGACGTTGCCGACGAAGATTTCGCTGACCCTGCCACTCGTGTTGATCGACAGGATATACTCTTGAACGCAGCAGCGGCCATTTTCACAGGACAAGGGCTGTTGGTCAGGGGGGGAAGAGCACGGGGAGACGAGCAAAGCTTTAATGTGGAAAGCGAGGGGGAGGAAATCTCAATAAATGCCCCACAAGTTTGCTGACATCTAGCTCTGCGGTGTTTTTTTTGTACGTGTGTATGTACGTTGAACTTCTTTTGCACCGTACGTAGCCTACCGTACTAATCAGAGTTGTTCCCAGGGTCAGCTCTCGAGGTGTGCTCGGGTGGGCCCTCCACCACGAAATGTCCCTTTTGGTGCACCCTAGTTCACTTTCCTTAGCAATATCTCACTGTTATGGTGACCCCCCACACAACAGCCGCGGTCAATTCCCTCGCCTGTATATTTGAAGTTTGCATGTCTCTCCCTACCCGTGGTCGTGTGGATTTTTCTCCCTCCGGTTTTTCCCTCCACATTTAGAATCAACGTGCTTTTAGAGTATTTGACTGCTACAAATTTCCACGCAATAAACCACTTCATTGAGCTATCACTTGTGGCCAGGTCGCTTCTGAAAAAGATTACATATCTCAGTGGGCCTTACCAAGTAAAATTTGAAAAATTTGTTTAGTTTTATCCATGTTGCACCATATTCTCTGGATTATGACCAGATCTGTGTGACGTTCTTGACTCCGAGGACAAGCTTGGGGTGTGTCTTACTTTCTGGAGCGTCGTGTGTAACGTGGAGAAATACGGTAACGCTTATTGTTCGGCATGATTTCCAACGTTTTGTTGCGTGCATGTGCCGGAGCTTCTTCAAACTGAGCAGAGACTGTATTCAGTTTCCTAAAGGAGCTCACAGCACGTGGAGTGAAACGTCGGCCATCATGCCGAACAATACGCCGTGCGACTGAATTACAGCAGCACATTGGAAAGCTGTACAGTACAACCGCAAATACCTAAGGCAGTGGTAATGCTGACATCTCTGTGGAGTTTGGAGTGGTTAGTTTCTCATATGCATGAGTTGTTGAACAGTACAGCAGTTTTCCTTCCACGTGTAAAATAAAAACAATAACAGTGAATAGTTTTTGGCATGGCCCTGTACAAAGTAGATCCATGCTAAAATCATAGCCAAGTATTGTGTTTTTTTCTGTTTTAAGGTCATGTTAATGACAAAAGTAGAGTGTGTTTTCTTGAGTTTGTATTTGTACACCTTTGCCATTCCATTTCCTCACGTATATATATTTTTACATTCAAAGTACTTATCAAAGTTGTGGGCAAAACAATTAATTTACAGCAGCAACGATTAAAATAATTGACTGCCCATTGTCAATCCACTGCTGAATGAAGGCCTTTCAATGCCGCAACAATCTCGGGGGGCTGTGTGAATGTGTGGGTTGCCCTAGTGTGGGTTGGTATAGCGATAGGCTTAGAACCAGTTCAGACATCACTCGCTCCTGATGTTAACCGTGACCAGGAATTTTATTCGACTCGCGAACACGTGTCCAACAACTCGCGGCACAACACAATAAACATCAGAGCTATTCAGCACAACCGCCAAAACCAACAGAATCGTACCTATGTACGTTGAACTTTTTTTGCCCTGTACATAGCCAACCGCGCTAGTCGGAGGTGCAAAACAATGTCAATAAGAACATTAAACAGGCTGGTTTATAGGAGCAAAAAAAAACACAAAAAATATGCTTTTAAACATAGATAACAGATAACAAGAGTTCTGTGAAAATAAACCAGCGATCGTGGTGTAATGGGAGTGTAGCAACTGATGGGAGCTCTGATTTGGTGTGGAGCAACCACAGCCACTTCAACAAAAAAACGTTCGTTGATGCTTTATCTCAGATGTGGCTGTTTCACCGCTAAACATTTTCGCATTAATCTCTCGTGGCCAGCTTTTTGTGAAGGCTGTCCTCGGGACCCACCGCCAGTCCATGCATGACTTTGGCGTGGGTGGTCATTTATAGCTATCCGGCTTCACTGGTATGGAACCATCATCTCACAAACATCAGATAAAATGAAATAGATTTTTGTCTTTCTTTAGAGCTGCTTTTTTACGCTCTGTTTGTTGTTTCTCCCCTGCACAGCCGATTAGCACAGGTTGGCTCTGGATAGTGGTGAAACAGGTTAAACATATATTTTAAGAGAAGCTGATAAATTTCGATTTAAAGCTTTCGTGACTGCAGGGATTCATTTTCTTGGTTCTTTCGGTAAAGTCACGTAGAAGGGAAGTAATAAAATAATAAAAATAAAACATAATAAAATAATTCTCACGACGTTTCGGTCACAACACAAGCAGCCGTCCTCAGGTGAAGAAACAGGTGTGTCGAGAAGACAGCATCTGAATGACACGCCCCAGGCTTGGAGTGTCTATTTAAGCTAGGTTGGAGCGGGAAGGTGCGCCTTAACAAAATAATTTGCATATCAATATGAATTTAGCATATTTATGGGAAATGCAGATATGGGATTAGTACTACTTGTGAAGTGCGTAGGAGGTTGGAAGGGGGTTTAAAGTCATTATGCCCGTGCATTATGCAGGATTAGCAGAATCAAAGGGAGGGGGTATGAGTAGCATTAATGAAGTGAAGGAATATTAATAGTATGTACCTGTATTAACTCAACCACCACGTAAACAACTAAAGTATAAACTACATAGTATCATCAGTATACTAAATACTGTATACTCTCCAATAAGCTGATCTACTAACAGTAAGTAATACATTATAATTATACGTCGCAAAATTATAATATGCTTTCAGCTAAACTTTATTCTCTTACATCACACGGGTCTACCCCCTGCTATATACTGCCATAGACAAACCCAACATTCAATTATATACTGTATTACTATATACCACCTTATACATTGTAATATTACACTATGTATTATTCTACCCACCGTACTGTATATCACACTGCTGTATATTCACTATACAATTACGATACTATATATTACTTCATACATTGTATTAAACATTACAATGTTATACTATTTATTATTATACAATCCGCTATACACTATACCATTTCGTTGCTTCCTCTTAGTATCTTTCACGCGACGGTCAATGGTATAGTGTATAGCGGATTGTATAATAATAAATAGTATAACATTGTAATGTTTAATACAATGTATAAAGTAATATATAGTATCGTGGTGGTGTATAGTAATACAGTATATAATTTAATGTTGGGTTTGTCTATGGCAGTATATAGCAGGGGGTAGACCCGTGTGATGTAAGAGAATAAAGTTAAGCTGAAAGTATATTATAATTTTGCGACATAGAATTATAATGTATAACTTACTGTTAGTAGATCAGCGTATTGGAGAGTATATTTAGTATACTGATGATACTATGTAGTTTATACTTTAGTTGTTTACGTGGTGGTTGAGTTACTGCAGCTACATACTATTAACATTCCTTCACTTCATTAATGCTACTCCTACCCCCTCCCTTTGATTCTGCTAATCCTGCATAATGCACGGGTATAATGACTTTAAACCCCCTTCCCACCTCCTACGCACTTCACAAGTAGTTCTAATCCCATATCTGCATTTCCCATAAATATGCCTGGGGTGTGTCCTTCAGACGCTGTCTTTTCGACAGACCTGTTTCTTCACCTGAGGACGGCTGCTTGCGCTGTGGCCGAAACGTCGTGAGAATTATTTTATTATGTTTAATTTTTATTATTTTATTACTTCCCTTCTACGTGACTTTACCGAAAGAACCAAGAAGGAGAAGCTGATAGTTGCGATAAATGTAAACAATAATAAACCACTTCTTGAGTGCATCTATAATAGAGTATTCATATGATTATTACTACGCTTGCTTATGCAGTAAAGCTTCACTGAGTCTCAAATCTTTTTCAGGAGGGTCCTGCCAAGTTTTAGAGTTGGGGGCGGGGGGATGTTGCGACGTGTAATTCTAATCTAATCGAAGCGATCCGCATATCTGCTTGTTTGTACGAATCTTGAACTTATTTTGCACCATACGTAGTCAACCGTGCTAATCGAAGGTGCTTCGAACGTGTAACGCCTTGATTTCAGCAACGGTCTGAAGTCACACTTATAAGCTTTAAATGATATTGCATAGGATACATTGCTTGGTAATTTTAAACCAAATGTATTTTATTTTATTATATATTTTAAGTGCTGGGCATTAGTTTAGATGACATTTTATGTCCAGGGATTTGAGATACCTTTACTGATATGAATTACACTGTAAAAAATAAAGGTGTTTGATCGAGATTTATTGAAGTTTATCGGTAAACTGGTGCATTCATTGGTCATGGCAAAATCAGTTTGAAGATTAAGAAGTTTCGTTTCGTAATCTTTATACTTTCTGTTTTGCCATGCATGTGCTTGGTTGTAACTTTGCTGTTTAATTCTTGCCCGTGAAATATGTTTTACCATGTAAAATTTGATATTCCAGTGTACTAAGCGAGAACAGAGTAACTTGAATTTATCCTATGATGTTAACAAACCTTAAGAATGTACAAGCAGAAAACACAATGCTACAGGCATCCTTTTGCGTTGCAATGATGGCAGCATTAAAACCAAACTCACTAAGTGGCTTATTGACCAAACACTGCTTAATTAACGAAAAATGTCATAAACTACCATTGTAAAGAAGCACCATCACTCAGTGTTTGGTGATGCAGTTTTTTCACTTATCGGGCAGTTATTTATAAATTATGACTCAAATAAATAATAAGCAGTTCATGTTTTTCTTATATGAAGCCATGTCACTTTTTCTTTCGTATGGATTAATAGCAGCAGATTAGATATGTAATTTTAGATGTGTTATTCACTCAATTGTCTGTTCATTGTAAACACCTGCAGGTGTTTATGATGTAATCTTTAATGCGACATTTGTGCATCAGGTGGCCGCACGGGCCGCATCGGCCATGCCTGGTCCTGATTGGGATGATGGTCGACCATTGGCGGCGTGGAAGGTTGCAATCAGGAGGTTCGATGGTAGGATCCTGTATGAGATGTTTATTTTTTATTATTTATATTGGCCGCAGTCCAGACTTGCTTCCATCTCTCGCCTTCATTCGTATTTGTGGTGGGGAGTCATGTCAGTGAGGTGGTGACATAGCCAATCAATATACCATTCGCTGCCACTTTCAGAGGTTCGCGGTTTGAAGTCAGCAGGCCACCGTGGTTATCGCTGCAGGCGTGTTGACTGTATCAGACACACTGTCTTATTCACAATGGACGCTCTAGATCCTTTGACGTTATTTGAAACAAAAGACCACTGTGTGCTAGCATCATATTCTGCGATAGCCTTGCGCTAGAAGAGAATAGCAAATGTACAATGTACCCTGTTATCATTATGTGTTAGCTGACTAAATGTAATTGATTCAATAGTTATTATAATTATATATATCTTACCTCCCAAAGCACGGTGACTTCTCGGTTGTCCTCAGTCTCGTTGTCAGCAAGAACTCGCCAAATATCTGGCCCCTTCGCTGGAGCTGCGGACAAATCATACACGGCATCAGATAGACGTATAATGGGCAGGCTTGTCACCCCAGTACAGAACGCGTGTGTCTGAGCCCTACGAACCTGGCAACCCGAGTTCGATTCTTTCTCTCGTAAAATAACAGTGGTGAATATTTGAGTTGTCCTGGGCCTCCCCGAGGTCGACTTAAATGAGCACCCGGTGCAATGTGTAAACATCAACGCTGCGGAGACAAAGGCTGTGGTGTTGGCCACCCACTCCCTCGTGTACCCTGTTGGCCTTCATTAGGTGCTCATGAACAACATTTAACCCATCAGTCTGTTAAAGGCTACATGGGAGATTTTTTGAAATTTTTGTTTTTGAACCTTTAGCAAGAAGATTGTTTGTGGTATGACTATGACCACTGCTCACTAGAATGTATATATGGCCACATATTATAGCTCAACGACGTGGCTTATCATGTAGAAATTTATAGCAGCCAGATACTCTACACGAATGTTTCTAAAAGTGGAGGGAAAAAAACCGGAGGACCCGGAAAAAAATCCACTTGACCATGGGGACAAGATGCAAACTCCGAATGCCCAACAGGCGTCACGGTCGGGATCGAACCCACGACCTTCTGTATACCAGGCGACGGTAGTTAACATCTCGCAATCTGACAATTGACTCGGTGATCTGAACCGCCGAGCCACCCAATGATCTCAACGCTTTTTTGTTGCTTCACGTACGGTTCAGCTCTCCGACCGCGTGCAACACCGGCGAGCTCCACTCGCTCCAGAAGCCCTCGCGCTGGTATCCGTGTCCCCGCACGCGCGCTGTGTACACGGAGCACTCCTCCACGCCGTCAATCCTGTACCACATGTCGTTGCCCACTGCTACCACCTGTAAACAACGAGGATAATTGCAATAATTATTATTATTGACATCGCATCATTCACGCATATCGTGTCTCAAAAACACATTCGTAGAATTTGTTTTCACGCAGGGGCGGGGGGGGTGGAAGCACAGACAAGTGGGGGAAGGCAGCCACAACTGGGGCCAACGATTGCCGATGGTTTGGTGTGGTCCTAGATTCAGAATGTTTTGCTATCTCCATGAAGTGAGTGTTTATACATGTGGGAGGAAACTGGAGTACCCAGAGAAAACCGACAAAAAGGATAATGATTTGCATTTACAGAGCGATTTCTTGTTATTTTCTTTTAACCTATCTACGTAACTTTACTGAAAGACCCAAAGAATATGAATTCCTGCAGTCACAAAAGCTTTAAGTCAAGATTTGCATGTATGTATGATTGTTGAGCTTCTTTCGCGCACCGTACCGAGCCAACCGTGCTAATTGGAGGTGCGAAATGCTTCACAAATTCAAAGTGCCCGAGATCACATCTCATCTTAACCATTCCAATGCCCCTCAGCAGTCTAGTCAAGGGGAACCTCAAATTGAATCTGTGGCACAAGGTCTACGAATCACTGGGATGCAAAATGAGCATGAGTCTTCATGTAGGGGGCACTGTTGGCGTGTGGCTTTGCCCAATTTTCAAACCTCGCGTGTAATTTATCAAATTCGACACAATGGACTACAATTTTCTCAAAAAACATAACATCTTTCACGTTCATTGCGAAGCAGACAGCATGCACTATTTAGGATTAACCAGGGTGGCCAGTTGGCTCGAACTTTGGCAATGAGAGGCAAACGTGCTACCGCTCGCCTACGTCACCACCCACTTGTGCACATGGAAACAAACAGTGCTCTGCGTCTGTATTGTGGCTTTAACACCCGCTGGCCAGATATCAAAGATGGCAGGGCTTAATTACGTATACAAATACTGCTCTACTTACGAACATTCAACTTACAAACTTTCAGAGATACAAACAAACCTGTTTGTATGTCCAGTTGCCTGTTCGGACCACGAGTCATACGTTCAACCGCCACGCAATAGATGGTGGTGGTGGCATCTACATCTGCAGGAGATTATACAACCTCTAAAGTGTGGTGTACATGCCATATAACATATTTGGAACCCACAGGAGTAAAGTTGTACTTAAGGACAAATTTACTTATGAACAGACCTTTGGAACCTAACTTGTTCGTAAGTAGAGGAGTCCCTGTAAACTATTCTCATGCAACCTCGCAATCCCATCCGCAATTGCTGTTTGAGATATAATTAATCTTAAACCAGATGACCTAGTCAGGGGAAGCTTGAATCAGCCTCACGTTGCTGAAGATACTCAAACTAGGTGATGGAGACGAAAATTTAGTGGTTGCAGGGGGTCAGGTGAATGAGGCTGATGTGTTCTACCATCAGTTTAACCCCTGGCATTTGAAATTCATTTCAACAAAACTACGGGACTGTGTGAAAAAAATTCCCTACCCGACCCCGTGGCAGGTGTCCATCATCAGCATTACGCTGTAGCTCGCACAGCTTTATGCACCTCAGTTTGCGGACTTGAGGTGTCGCTGGCCGTGAATTCCACCTCGTACTGCATGGTGTAGATGTTGTGGGGCAGTGCTGCTGGTGGCTGCCATATCAGGCTTAGCCCAAATGAAGGAGCTTGACCAACGCTGAAGAACACATTCTCTGGCGGGCTCGGCTTCACTGCAACGACACGAAAACATCGTACCGCGCTGTGCAATGTGTGTGCTGTTTCAAAAAAACGCACACGCACGCACGTTCCCATAGCGATGCAAAAACAACTAGAAGTGTCGTGCACATTGCGCAACTCGGTGGCCACGTAGGTCAAAAACACGCGCAAAACCGATACAAAGTTGCTTTGGCACTTTTAGTGTTGAAATACCAAATCGTGATGTATGCTGTGATTAATTTTGTTGCGGGTGTCCTGTCCGTACGCCGGTCCAAGGCACCATTCTCTCCGCCATGCTCCTTGGACTTCTGCTGCTCGCTTCATCTGTCTGTACATCCTTCCTGGCTGAATATCGAGCATCGCTGTTCTCTTCCTTTCTCTCTTCCCAAATAATCTTCTCACATCCCCCCTCCACCCCATAAAATAAGCTGTTCCCCTCTCACTGCTGTGACGTGCCTAATCCAGATGTCCTTCCCCTTTCTAATGCCATGAAACACGAGCGAAACACGTGCAGCAGTTCGTGAAAGCTTACGCGATGATTCCTACGCTTAAATTATTTCGTGATGCTGCGTTGGCAGTGGTGCACGAGGACAAATAAGAGGCACAAAATCTCAACACATTGCTCAACAACACTGCATTCAAATAATGCAATCTATATATATAAAATCATCAAAGTTTCACGTCCTCTAGAGAGTGGTGAGGGAGGGAGAGTGGTGAGGGAGGGAGAGTGGTGAGGGAGGGAGAGTGGTGAGGGAGGGACTCAGCCTCAAAACGAGTAACTGGTGTGGCGTATAACATCGCCACTGGGGAGACAAAGGCGGCCGAGCGTGGTGGATCCAAGTCCCGGGCGAAGCCGGGTAGTACAGCTAGTATATTGTAAAAGTATACAATAGGTGATATGTCGGTCAATGACGCATCTTCATAGCACAGCTATGTGCTATGCATGTATCAGATTCTCTATTGATTCTGGAGAAATCCAACGACCTATGAAGCTATGTTTCATAGATGTCACCTTCACAGATCATGTCAGTTATGAAGCTGTGATTATTATGATTAACTATTATTGTGTTCTTTTGTGCATTTGTATTCTTTAAGCACTATTTTTTCTGCACCTCTGATACGTTCTGTCCCACTGTTGCTTCTTCCTCTGTAAGGATCGCTTTTATGTTGTTCTTGTTCTGTGATGATGCAACGCGGATTTCCCTTGTAAACTCGTGGGGCAACTGACTGAACCCGATTTTCCGTGTAGCAAATAAACATTGATAGATGCAGTGAATGTTTCTTAAACCTCCCTCCACCGTCTCTGCTCACCCAGCAGTATAAATCGGTGCACCGAAGTTTGTCAATTGACAGGTCACGTGCGGTGGGGTAAAGCGTGGGTGCTCTCTGGCCAGCATGGAAGAGCGGGCCAAAATAAATACCCCCTCAAGGAGTGAAGTAGAGCGCCCTCTATGTATGTACAATATGTTGAACTTATTTCACGCTCTATGTAGCCAACCGTGCTAACCAGAGGTGCGGAGGAAGGACAACAAACTAAACACGGTAAGCAGTTCTAAAGAAATCAGTTTTCAATCTACATTTAAAAGTGCATAGCTCCATTGGCTTCCTAATATTAGAAGGAAGTGCGTTCCAGACGGTCGCAGAAGAGCATCTGAAAGTGAGCGATGCAGTGACCGCTTTTGTTCGACGGCTAACCAAAAGCCGCTGTGAGGATGGCCAGAATTTGCATGATGGTTTAAGCTCTTTAAAGCGCGGAGGACAATTCCGCCATCAGTGGCGTGTGGGCAAGCAATCGCAGGGCTGCATCTTTACTCATTTTAACCGATGGGGCCGAATCCCGGCGCGCTGCGACGTATTATACCGACGTGCACCCACCGATGTCCCAGAGGTGCATGCAACGCATCTTGCTGCTGGATGAGCCCAGCTCGCTGGAGCTTTCCACCCACATCCAGTAGTTGTTGGCATGCGACACGCGAGGCTGGTCGAACTGGCAGTGGTACACGCCGGAGCCGCCGGTCTGCAAGCAATCGGCCGTCTTCACGTTGTCCCGAGCCAGGTTTTCCCACGGCACTGAAACGTTGCACAATCTGTTCACGCTGCGAGCAAAAAAGGCAAAGCGCACAGCACAACGACTTCGGCTTAAGAGTTTGATGCTGACCACTGGCGGCCCTTGGTGGTCTTTAGTGTGGCGCCTGACGTGCGGCCCCCGACAATACACAACATGTGAAAACACCCCCATCGTGCTGTCAAACCTCCAATGGTTTCAAATGTGTGGCGGCCCTCACACTGATGATGTCTTATTGGCGATAGTGGCCCCCCTATGGAAATTAGCGAAGAACGCTTGCTCTCGTGCCTGCCCACGAGATGATTTCATCCCTGCATCGACGCTCTGGGCATCCTTTCGGGCACGTTCCCTCCTTTGACTGCCACCCCGTTGTTAGTATCGACCACCGGCAACCCATCGTCCCTTCTGGTGAAGTGTCGTGCCCAATGCCCGGTGCCCACTCACAATTTCTTAACAGTCCATACGGTGCCTCTGACTTGCGTGTATATGTTCCCTAATCCATGTTCGGGCAGGCACAAACACTGCCAATGGGGTGAATAAAACTGGAGTAAGAAATTCACTAGTCGTAAATTGCAAAACCTATGAATAAACGCGCTTTAGCCAAATCGCCTCACATACGTAAACAAAGTGGGAATTACTGAGATGGGAGGGGTGGGGGGAAACTTGACCTGAGAACCAATTTACGAGAGTTGCGACTAAACTGGAAGCGTGGTGTGACCATGGGTCACGGGCAACTTCCACACCGCCCGCTGCTTTATGAGCCTTGTGCAAGCTTCGGTACACAAGTGCAGCAGCCATTACACAGAGCAGCTGAAGTTACCCAATGAAAGACACATATATTCATCTTCTTGGTTCTTTCGGTAAAGTCACGTAGAATGGAAACCAAGAAGATGAATCCCTGCAGTCACGAAAGCTTTACATCGAAACATATATTCATATTTGCACTTATTTCCTTTCCCAATTTGTGTGTTTTGTTTGGTATGTTATCCTCGTGCCACGCGCGAGCACGAGGCGCTGCGCCCAACGTGCGTGGGCATATTGCTGGCCTGGCATTCCATTCCTGAGGGAGGTTCACTTGGCAAGAGGTAAAGGTGCAGTCCTGTCATTGCTTGGTCTTATAAATACAGGCTGGCCAGACTGTCTTGGAAGAGATGGGAGTTACCCCCACATAGCATAATTAAAATGTATAAATCACGGTACGTTGTCTAGCCACTGCTGGATGAAGGCCTCCCCATGCTGTATCAGTCAGAGAGGCTGTTTGATCGTGCATTTCCCATGCTCGTCCGTGTGGGTTGGTGAAAGGGTGAGGTTTTGGATAAGTTAATTCACTCTCATCCTTGGCCATGAATTGAACTCACGTCGACAGGTTCATAGTGCAGCATGCTAACAATTGTATCACCTTCAAATGTATATCTCATGTTTATTAAGCTTTTCTTTCACGTACGTGAAAAACTTATTTGGCAATACTGCGTTGGTAATGATGCACAAACACAAATAACAACAAAATTTAACACCTTAAAAGGTAAAAATATAATAGTTGACATTTTGGCAATGTACAATGCAGAAGGGCCGTTGCACAAAGTGTCACCTGTTATATATTTTTGCTTTCAAGGCCACAGTCGTATTGACAAACGTGTTGAGTTTTTTATAATACCTATTATACTCAACGTCATTAATATTATCACCATTGTATTCACACTCGAAGCAGCAATTGACAACATTCCACCTCTCCGTACACTTACCGCCGCCCCCTAAGCAAATGCTTCGATATGTAATGCAATCATTCTTTTTTAAATTTATATCTACACAAATTTTTTACATATTTTATTTATTTTTCCATTGAATAAATTCACGACGATGCTGTGGTGTAATGATCAGCGCACTGCATATGCAATCTAGGGGTCGCCAGTTTGACCTCCTTGCATGGCAGTAGAAAACAAAGTCTCTTAAATCCCCCACGCCTCTGTCCACCCAGCCGTCTAAATGGCTGGGTGCTGGGGTGAAGTATGAGTACACCCAGCTCTTCCAAGGCATCTGGCCAGTGTTCAAGAATACGCCAAAAAATACACTCTCGCGGGGCTCAATGGAGCACCCCGCTCGTGGAGTCCGCCGTTTGCCAGCAGTGGCGTGAGAAAGCAATTGCAGGGACTCTCACGTTCACCTTGACCGTTGGTTCCACGCAGGCCTTACTCACACTGTGTACTTGAGTCTGTACTTGCTCCTGTGGCTTCCCCTGCATTCACCAGGCAGCCAGGAGCAATTGACGATGGTCTGATCCAACATGTAGCACGTGAAGTCGGAAGGCGGGCAGGGCTTCCCTGGAGGAAGAGTATAGCCGAATGGCACAATATGACAAGAGACTCCCGTCTAGAAGCATCAAAGAAGACAAAGATCCCCGTATAGCCTTAACATATTGTTGGGAGTGAGTGCTGTTAGCGAGCACATATGAAGGCTGGCACGGCACACGAGGGGGTGGGTGACCAGCACCACGACCGGGAACCATTGTCTCCCGAGTGGCGAAGTTTACACACCGCACCAGGTACTCATCTGAGGCTGAGTCGACCTAGGGGAGGCCCAGGATCAGTTCAAATATTCGTCACTGGCATTGGCCGTGAGAGGGAATCGAACTCGGGTCGCCGGGTTCGTAGCGCAGGGCGCTAATCGCTACACTCCCGCTGGAAGCATCACGCGCTTGTTCACAACGCAGCATCTGAATACCCCATAGTGAAGAATCAGGGGTAATGTAATAGAGACAGATACACACAGGGCAGCCTGCATGGCAGGTTTAAACACACAAAACACACAAACTGGCGTGTTGTTTAACAGGACGCATATTTCGATTACAGATTGTAGTCCCCGTCACCAGCAGGGCTGGTAGTGTATCTCAAAGGTAGCTGTTTGAAGCCATAAACATATTTACATTATTCTCTCCTGGTCAGCTGACTTCAAACGCTAGTCGTTGCAACCCACTTCCTGAGGCTTCAGAATGATGCCTCGGATTTTGAGATTCTCCAAAGACGCGCACTGCAGTGGTGTCGTGTCGCTGCGCAGTGCGGCGAATGCGTGTGGATGAGGCTCGTGGGGAAGGTGAGAGTCAAAGTGAGCGGAAGGCGATGTCTGCATCCCTCTCAAATGCCCTCGGCCCGTGAAACCGAACTGGCTCCGCATGTCACAGTCCGGGAAGAAGAGCCGCATCGGCACTCACATCCGACGGTGATGTCCGCGCTGCGCAGGAGTTTGTGCTTCTCGTCGCCGGGCGCTTTGCGTCGCAAGCACATGAGCGTCTGCCCACCCATTAGCGGCTCGCCCCCAGGGGACCCCGCGCTGCTACGCTCGGTCGGCTGGAGGTCGTGCAGAGTGACCACCGACGTCCTGTTGTTGAGCACCGTCACGTGGCTCTGCGGCAGCTCGCGGGCGCCGTACACCCAGACTATGTCGTGCGCCGTCATCCCGGGCGGGGCGGCGGGGAGGAGGGTGCAGCGCACCATCACGTCGGAGCCCACGGGCACCCGCACCTCGTTGGGGTCGATCGACGCCACCCAGTCGACGTCGCCGCCACGCGCTTCTATTGGAGTTCAGAAAAGAGCAGCAGCAGAAGCAGCAGTGACGATGACGACGACGACGTCTTTCGTTTGTGACATGCCTCGTAATGGGAAATAAAGGGTCACGGGTGAGAGGGACGTTGTCGGGAAGGTCACTGTCGGGCTGGACGCGCAGGTTGGGGTTCAGCGGTACCACATGCGTGGGCCACATGGACAAGAGTGAGCGCCGTTTCAGTGGGAGCTGTGCAGGGGGAGAGAAAAGTCACTCTGAAGGCATCCCTTACACCCTGTTAAGTTTGGACCACAATTATATAACACCGTGCCATCCGCATATGAATGAAATTTGTAAGACTGGACGACCGCAACTTAAGTTATTAACAAAGATGTTTAAAAAGAGGGGAGGGCCCAATACAAATCCCTGAGGCACACCACTTTCAACACATCCCATATTACGAATGGTTCCACCCCACTGGACACATTCGGATTTATCCCTCAGGTAGTCATGTATCCATTCCTGGGGTTGAAAACTATAAATCGTAGCACTTTCAGGTTTCTCATCAGGGTGGGATGATACGTTCGTCAATGATGATTGTAAACGCACAACATTTACAATTTGAGTACGACGTTTCACTGGCGATTACAACCAGCGTCATCAGTCAATTTGTCAAAAAAACACTTTTATTATGGATAATATTGGTCGCGAAAGCCTACGTGTTACATTGAATATTGTTAATTCTACACCTCTCATCTAGAGCTTCTGGGAGATGAGCCACCATATTAACAAGAGCACAAGTTGAAGGTTCCTTCCTAAAGCCTGATTGGGTATGAGTGAAAAGTTAACAAAATGCTTGGTCAAATGTTGATTTATTTCATGCTCTGAACATCTTATTTAAGTTATCAAAAATATATGGTGGAAGTTGTTGATGTTAAATGCATCAGCTTTGCTGAAAAGAGACTGATGGAAAACATCCATTGGAAGATAGGTTAAAAATTAACCAAATCAATTAAAATGAAAACTTTACTTTTCATTTTACCAGGTAAGGCCCACTGAGCTATATAGCTCTTTTTCATAAACGACCTGACCACAAATGATAGCTCAATAAAGCGGCTTATACATAATTTTATAGCAGCCAAAATGCACGTTGATTCTAAATGTGGAGGGAAACACCGGATGACCCAGAGAATAATCCACGTGACCAGGGGGAGAACATGTAAACTCCAAATATAGAGCAGGTTTCAGGATCAGGATCTAACTCACGACCTCCTGTATAGCAGGCGAGGGAGTTAACATCTCGCCACTGTGGTTCCCCAAGTCAGGGGGTGGCCCACAGTGAACGGTTCCCAGTGGTCACTGGGTAGATTACAGATGGTAGCCCACGAAGTTCGACCACCCCCCACCCCCACGGATCGCAGGAATTCTACTGCACTAAATGATACTAAATCTACAAAACTAATTGCTACTGACTCAGTACTGCAGCAAACTGTGCGTGTGCCGCTGTGTGTTTAAAGGTTCCATCATCAGCATAACAGCATTTACGTCACCTTGTTGAAGGGATCAAAACGCAGACTCAAAAAAACGATTGTTGTGGGTATTTCTTAGCCGGATCTAAACACGTTGGGGTTGTCCGGACACCCACAGCACCCGGCGGTGGCTTTGCCACTGGTTGTGAGTCGCAACTCACCGAACACCAAGCACGCCACGGCCATCACCCTCCACATGAACTCCATGTCGCAGATGTCCTTCGCCGCGCCTCAGACGACGCAAGATTGACCAGAAACGGAGATGATCACCAGGTCACATCAGTCGCGTCTCCGCCTGGTAGGCGGCGTCTGTATATGTGTCCGTTGAGCTTCTTTTCGCGACCGTACGTAGCCAACCGTGCTAATCGGCAGCTCCCTTCTTGTCGTCTCAGCTTGCTACGCTTGAACGTGGGTTTCCTCTGCCTACGTCGGCGAGCGGGGAAGAATGCAGAGGTTTTTTTGGTGAAGGGTTGGGCATGATTTGGCAAAACAAGGCAACGAAAAATAATGCCATTACCATCATGCTCAAGGCTGATCGACGTCATTTGTGACTCGTGTTATTGTCAGCGGTGGTGTTTGCCATGTTACGGCTTCTCTATCACGTGCTCGCAACATTGTTGTTGTTGTTGTTTTCTATCTCTTTAACGTTTACCAAGTGAAACGGTCAGATAGCGTGAAGGAGAGGCAGAATGATCACATATTTGGCACACGATACAATGCGCGGGCATGCACTCCAGTTCAGGACTGACCCCCCCGTGTGTGCACAAGTGTGTTGCTCAAGAAGGGGAGCGTGTGTCGAAACTTTGATTGAGCAAGGCCTGCTTGCCCTCGTTTGGCTGCGTTCCTCGTTATCCGTGATCACAACGGTCTGCTTTATGTAAAAAAACAACATGATTCTGCTCACATGAATCGGATCCTGGGTTTAAATCCAGGCAGCCATCTGTGATTAAACCAGGTTCTCAAGTGTAATGAGTTGATGGGGGAAGGGGGTCTCAGCCCGGTCACCACTGCATCAAGAAACCCCATCACATTAACATTTGTTTCTGCACTTCATTTCGTCTGTCATGCAACGAGCGTGGCTCACGTATGCAGAGCGAGCACAAAAGTGCTGCCACCTGATGTGTGGACCAGAGGTCACTTGAATGGATCTCAGTGGCAGCTCTGTGTTGTCTACTTCCGTGGGCAATTCGAATGGATAATCCATCTCAGGTAATTGACGCTGATAGCACAATCAGGATACAAGTGAGTGGGGAAAAAACTACATAATTCCACATAGAAACCCTTCTCTACCATTTGAATAATGGAAACGCCAGAGATCTGTTTCAATGTCCGACGTTGCCACTTATTCCACGTAAATTAGCAGCTGATTTCTAAGGAAGATTGAGCCAAAATCCAATTTTGGACGTATAAAAATTTGTTTAAACTGATTAATTTACCCACTTACTCAAATAAGTCAATGGTACATCGTATGTGTACGCGCGTGTGCAGACAGACTTGTTTTGACAATGGAAGCATCGTTTAAATCGACAACCTGTAATACTGCCATCGGCAAAGCAACATATTGCGTTCACGATAATGACAGAATAGTGGGCATGATTCCACACCTGTGATCACCTTGAACAAAACCACACGATCTTTTTCGACATTTGCCTTTTCACCAAGTGTAACCAGGGTGATAGTTGAGAATGATTAATATAATGCCCTACACTACATCGCCATTTCATTTTAAATCCCACAGTATGAACTTAAACGTGAACATCTCTGCATCTGAAGTAATACAACCTTTCAGTACACACACATTTGTTAATATTTATGACGCAAACATGATAATCGATTGAAAGATAACAAAAACATCGCAAACATTGCACGGACATTTGTAATCATACTCTGTCGGCGTAATGAAATATGCTTATCTGGAAAGCCTCCTTAAATGTGAAACCTCTTTTTTTCATACAATATTGAGAGACACCACCATAAGAAGTTGGTGATCCACCATAGGTGACAATGCAGTTGATAACAACGCTTCTAATGCAGAAGTCATAATTCTAGATCAGTGGTTCTTAACCTGGGGTGCGAGACATGGGCAGATTTTTTTTTTAGAAGGTAAATCATCGAACACACAAATTAAGCATGGGCACGTAAGTACAACTACCTTGTTTCATCAAACCTCTATGTATTTATTAACACTTTTTTTACAATTCAGAACCAAAGGGGTGCAGGCTGCAGGAAAGGATAAGAACCACTGTGCTAGGCATACAGGAACCATTGTTGCTGAGCACAGACCCAAAGGTCCAAAATGCCCTCAACGGCCAGCAACAAGCGGCACTCATTGAAGTGGTAAACATGTATAGGACTTAATGCGTTTTGTGAATCGAGCATGACTACAAAACACTTGGCAAAAGAGACGATTGAGAGGGGGCTTCGAATACGTGGAGGCATTTGCCCCTCTGATTAGCACGGTTGGCTATGCACGGTGGGAAAAAAGCTCAACGTACACGCGTAACAAATGGGGAAAGTGAGCAGCAAGGGTTGCAATGGCTCACCTGCGAAGGCGAATGTCCGACGTTTCTGCATCCGCCCGAAAGCCCCAGTAACGGCACGTGCCACACGCGCCGCGCGTAAGGTGACATACGTTGACTTCTTGGGAGGCGTGCGTGTGTAGAGGAGTCGAGAGACACTATGCGCGATGGGCGCAGTTGGGCTGGCGTAATAACATCCAAACGAAGTGTGCGACAGTAATGAGCGCAGATCTGCAAACAAACATGTTGTGGTGGGGGGGGTTGGGAGATTATGGGATGGGGTGAGATGATGATACAGATAAGGGAAGAAGCAATGTGTGGGGGAGAGTGTTAGGGCTAAGATGAGAAATAACATCAGCAGTAGATCGCGACAAATTGTCAATTTGGTGACTGTGTGCCTACCCAAAACTACTGCACTAAGTATGCACTTTGCATGTATGGCTGTGTGTGTCTGTGTGCGAGGCACACCGAGCGGTAGTGTAGTGGTCAGCGCGCTGTACTAAGAAACCAGCGACCCGAGTTCGATTCCCGCTCACGCCCAACACCAGTGACAATTATCGGAACCGGTCCCCTACGTCGACTCAGCCTCAAATGAGTAACTGGTGCGATGCTTAAAAATATCGCCACTGGGGACAAAGGCGGCCCGGCGTGGTGCTGGCCATCCACCCCCCGTGAGCTGTTCCGGCCTAACTGCACTTCCCCTAACAGTCTGTTAAGGCTATACGGGAGATCTTTGTCGTGTCAAACGTGATGGGCCAATGTCTCAGGAACCACTCGTCCAACGCCTCAGTCTTAAGAGCGCAGACGAAGTTATCATATTGCTTTGGCAGTGGTTTCACGTTTCAAGTTTATTTTGATTCAGGAAAATAATCAGAGGTGGAAACTCATAGAGACAACGACGAGTTTCACTTTCAAGGGTGACTATCATCAGCAGAATGACAACAACAAAATAATAATATGAAATTAAGTACGACGATAAGCCATTATATTTTGCTGTTTGTACACAAGCCGCAGATAGCAAAGACTCAACACGTTCGTCAACAGCGACTAAACAGCATAGACAATGAGAAGGTTCACAGTAAGTAAAACTTCTAGTGTTGCCGAAGCAGACATTGGCTGAGTTGGCATGATTTTATAGCAGATTTTTCAAACGAGGAGCTGAATGTAACTGTGCCTTTTTATAGAAGAAGAACAGGGCAATTGTGATGCCGCCGCCGCGAAGCCGTTCGGCAGGCACCAAATCCCCGACCTCGCCACCACCAAGCAACGGAGCCGACCCCGCGTCCCCCTCACCTCACATGAACACACCCGCACTCATTTCCCCCCCCCCATAGAGCTCCGAGGGGAGGTCGCCTGGCCGACCGGTTTTTATCCGAGAGACCCTTATCGGGATTAATTCTCACGGTTTCCGGCGATCAGGGAATTGGATGACCTCCCCCGTGCTACGTGGCACCGCGGCGCTGCGGCCGGCCTTAATATGGTATGGTCGCGGCGTGGGGCATTCGGCCACCGCGGTTGAGGCGCATTTCCCCCCACACACACCCCCACGAGTCGACGGGGCAAGCAGGGGAGGCACGGGACAGCATGAATAGCGGGACCACAGGGGCTGTTGCGCATAGTCATGGAGGGTTGGGATAATTGCGCTTGAGCGCGCAGGCCCTATTGTTAGGGAGGGTAAGGGATTAATTAGGATTTACGCCTTGCACGCAACACACTGATTAGCATATCAACAGCGCCCAGAACCGCCGTGCGCGTGCCAGAGGATCGCGAGCCCATTGTTTAGCACAGCATCCCTTTTGAGGTAGGGAAGATAAATAGAGGGGCGCAGGAGTTCTACGTGTCGAGTGCGTTGTGTCACGAGTGTATCGCAGGTACCGACCTCTTAGAACGGCTGGGACTCAACGTGCAACCCCGCCAGCGATGCGCCACCATGGAGAGCAACGGCGAGCGGATACCGTTCCTGGGACGAGAACCGACGCGCCCCCGCTTCGCACCTGTGGCCGCTATCCTGGCGACGGCAGTCACCATCGGCCCGCTCACCGAGATGCTGGTGCCGGTGGCAACATCCCCCACCGACCCCGCGCTCCGACCATCAGGAGAGGTAATGCTAACTCCTCACCCGGAGTTGGCAAAACGGTATGGGATAGTGGGATCCGCCACGTTGGTAAACGCAGATGGGGACCGATTGTTTATGCGGATGTTTAACCCCCACAAAACCCCAGCGATACTGCGACGGCGCACCCCGATAGCCACCGTACACCCCCTGCACGCACGCCACTCTAACGACTCGGTGTTCGCACTCTGGGCTGAGGACCCCGGTCGTCCTGAGGGTGAGCAGGTCCTGGCCTGGCGAGTCGGCCCGACTCCCCGAGCCGAGGTCGTTCCCCTGCTCGACGCGTTACATGTACCATGGGCGGACTTACCTAAGGGAGAGGCCGATCGGCTGCGCGAGTTACTGCAGGAGTATGCCGACGTGTTCAACGAACACGACTCGGACGTGGGTCGGACCGACCTTGTTAAGCACCAAATTGACACCGGTGCAGCCCGACCCATCAAACTCCCTGCATACCGAGTGGGCGCACCCGAACGCACCCAGATCAAAGAGGCGGTTGGGGACATGCTTCTTGATAACATAATTCAGCCCTCGGCGAGCCCCTGGTCAGCCCCGGTGGTACTAGTAACGAAAAAGGATGGGTCAACCCGGTTCTGCGTCGATTATCGTAAACTGAACGCAGTCACGCTCGGCGACGCCTTCCCCATACCCCGCATCGACGACACTTTTGACAGCCTCGCCGGAGCGCGATATTTTTCTACCCTCGATCTCGCGTCCGGGTACTGGCAGGTGGAGATGGCGGAGGAGGATCGGCCGAAAACCGCATTCACGACCCCGATGGGACTATTCGAGTTTCGAGTACTCCCGTTCGGACTCACCAATGCACCCGCGACGTTCCAGCGGCTGATGGAGTTGGTGATGCGGGGTTTGCAATGGGAACAGTGCCTGATTTACTTGGACGATGTGATCGTGTTCAGTAGATCTTTGTCTGAGCATTGGTCCAGGCTACGAGAGGTGTTCCAGCGACTGCGAGCGGCTCATCTCAAGCTCAAGCCACGTAAGTGTTACATCGCACAACGCGAGGTGGGGTACCTCGGGCATCGCGTCAGCGAGGCAGGCGTGCGCACCGATCCGGAGAAGGTACGCGCCGTAGTGGAGTGGCCACGGCCAAGGAATCTGACGGAGATCAGATCATTTTTGGGCTCGCCACCTATTATCGTCGATTTGTAAAGGGATTCAGCGAGATTGCACGCCCCCTCACCCAACTCACCTCCCCTAAGCACCCCTACCAGTGGACGGGGGCCTGCCAGACGGCCTTCACCACTCTCAAAGATCACCTCACCCACGCCCCCACCCTCGCTTTCCCCGATTTTACCACCAATTTTATTTTGGACACCGACGCCAGCAGCAGCGGGCTGGGCGCGGTGTTGTCACAGGTACAGGATGGGACGGAACGAGTCATCGCGTACGCCAGCCGGACCTTGAGTGGGGCCGAGCTGAACTATTGCGTGACCCGCCAAGAGTTGTACGCTGTGATTTTCGCATGTAAACAGTTCCGGCCGTATTTGTACGGCCGGAGATGTCGCGTATGCACTGACCATTATGCTCTTCAGTTCCTTCTTAAATTCAAGGAGCCGCGGGGGCAGATGGCCCGTTGGTTGGCGCAGTTGCAGGAGTACAACCTGCAAATCGAGTATCGGGCTGGCCGGACGCATGCAAACGCGGACGCCTTGTCGAGGCGACCCACGGTGTACGCCGAGACGAGGGTGGAGGAGGCCTGCCCGTGTTTCACGGGGGGACGCTGCCGGCAGGCAACGGACCCCCGAGAGGCTGCGGCCACTGACCCCCCCCCAGCGAGAGAGAGTGCAGTGTGCGCCACAGAGACCCTCACAGGTGGCACTGAGGATCCCGTCGACCGCCCGGCAAGCGCGGGACCCGCGGCTCGGGACCTGATCGGACGGATCCAGGAGGACGTCGGCTGCGCCTTCCTGGGCCTAAACGACGAGCAGCTGAGACAGACCCAGCAGCGAGATCCGGATCTGGCGGCAGTGGAGGCGGCACTGCGGGAGGAAAAGAGCGCCCTACCAGGACCCTGGAGCGGTTTGTATGCCCGGTTGTGTGTGCAGAACGGAGTGGTACGGGAGTTAACCGAGGCCGGCCAGCCGGGGTGCATCTGTGTTCCTGCCCAGGTGCGACCCCAGCTGCTACGGCTGGTGCATGACCACCCACTCGGGGGCCACGATGGGGAACGACGTACTCGAGAGACCCTGCGTCGCCAGTATCTCTGGCCCAAATTGGCACAAGACGTGGCGGCCTGGGTACAGGGCTGCCGTGCCTGTCAGCAGTGCGGGCCGAAACCGGCACGATACCAGGTACCCCTAAGGCCGTTCCGCGTCAGCCGCACGAATCAGCTGGTCGGGATCGACCTACAGGGGCCATTCCCGCGATCCCATCGAGGCAACCGATATATCCTAGTCGCAGTAGAGTATTTCACCCGCTACCCCGTGGCAGTGGCCATCCCTGATAAAACGGCCTTGGTGGTGGCCCGGGCATTTGTGGAACACTACGTACTTAAGCACGGGATCCCAGAACGAGTCCTCACCGACCAGGGTAGCGAGTTCGAGGCCGAGTTGTTCCAGGCACTGTGCCGAGAGTTCGGAATCCAGAAGGACCGAACCACAGCGTACCACCCCCAGGCGAACGGTATGGTGGAGCGCATGAATCAGACCTTAGAGGGGAAACTCAAACGGACGACGGCCGCTAAACCCTTCCGCTGCTGAGTTTGTGCCCCAGCCCACAGGTGCCGGAGGACGGGGAGAGCTGCTGGAGTGGAGGAGGAGACCGCCGCAGGAGCTACAGAGGACGGAACCACCCGCCCCGAGGCCAGCCACCAGGTCCGGAGGGATCCCCCGGACCCCGCAACGTTTCCTCGTGGGCGCGGCCCAAGCGAGGTGCTCCAGTCAACCCGGGACGGGGACTGGCACCTCGGGGGGCTATGTGATGCCGCCGCCGCGAAGCCGTTCGGCAGGCACCAAATCCCCGACCTCGCCACCACCAAGCAACGGAGCCGACCCCGCGTCCCCCTCACCTCACATGAACACACCCGCACTCATTTCCCCCCCCCCATAGAGCTCCGAGGGGAGGTCGCCTGGCCGACCGGTTTTTATCCGAGAGACC